GGAATTGGGTGCGACAAGACGCTCTCCTGATGTACTATGACATTATTCATGGTCGTCTCACCACTGTCGACCGCGAGCTCACTGCTCGTTGCATAGCTCTACTTAACCGCGCCGACCCCGAACTTCTCACTTATATGCAGTACAATATCGACCGTTGCGACGCTAGCAAGGGTGATACTTATGTTCTTGCCAAGCAGTTTGGCCAACAGCTCATCGACAACACAAAGGAGGTGATCGATCATCCTCCAGTGTACAAAGATGGTAAGCACGCAGACTGATTTGCGTCCGTCACCGTTAATCACGTTTTCAAACCAGTGACATTCCCCACTGCCCCTCATACCGAAGTCACGGAGAAAGGCGATATTGTTTACTCCGAAGTCGTCCGGGAGAATGTTCGCAAGTTGGAAGCTTATGTCGAGGAGATGGCCAGTGGAGATACTATCTCTACCGTGAACATCCAGAAGGTGCAAGATGATGTTTTGAAGCTATGGACTGTAGTCAGATCCCAACCCGGCATTAGTCAAGACCAGAAGAATCGTATCAAAGCGTTATATGAGGGAGTTGTTCGTTCTCTCAGAAAGGGTCCCGAACAAGCCCGTACACGCACTCGCAGTCGTCGCTCTTCTTCCCAATTCCTTCGTCCCCAGATCTCTGCCGCCACCAGCGTGTCCGCAGACAAGGTTCCCCTCCTCCATCTCAAACGCAAGGTTGGCAGCAACTGGGAGTACTCCAGCAACTTGACTGGCGTGTACCTCGACATCCTTCACGAAATTGCAACCTCAGGCACTACCTTCAAGGATAAGAACGCCCTGCTCACTGGCGTCGGCAAAGGCTCCATTGGTGTAGAGATCTTAAAGGGTCTTCTGTCCGGCGGTGCGCATGTCGTTATCACTACCTCCCGCTACAACCGAGCGACCGTGGAGTACTACCAATCTATCTACCAGAGCTTTGGCGCTCGAGGATCGGCCCTCACTGTTGTTCCCTTTAACCAAGGTTCGAAGCAGGATGTTGAAGCACTTGTTGACTATATCTATGCCACGCTCGGTCTCGATCTCGACTACATACTTCCCTTCGCTGCAGTGCCCGAAAATGGCCGTGAAATTGACGGCCTGGATGACAAGTCTGAGCTCGCACACCGCATCATGTTGGTAAACTTGCTGCGCATCCTCGGTGCAGTCAAGAACAAGAAGGCCTCTCGTCACTTTGTCACCAGACCAACGCAGGTCATTCTTCCACTCTCTCCTAATCATGGACTTTTCGGCAACGACGGTCTCTATTCGGAATCCAAGATATCTCTGGAGACTTTGTTCAACCGCTGGAACTCGGAGAGCTGGGGCGAGTATCTGTGCTTGGCTGGTGCCGTTATCGGGTGCGTATCATCGCAATTATCTTCTGTTGCTCCATAACTTATGCCACTTAGATGGACCCGTGGTACAGGTCTCATGGATGCTACCAACATTGTCGCAGACGAAGTCGAGAGTCACGGTGTCCGTACCTTCTCGGCGAAGGAGATGGCGTTCAATATCCTGGGCTTGATGCATCCATTGCTCTTCAGCATTACCCAGGTTGAGCCTATCTGGGCTGACCTCAATGGTGGTATGGATCGTCTCCCTGACCTCGCTGATATCACAAGCCGTATTCGCATGAATTTGAACAAGAAGAGCGAACTTCGTCGCGCTATTGCACGCGACAATGCTCTTGATTTCAAGGTTATCAATGGAGCAGAGGGTGAGCGTGTCCTGCAAACCGTCAATGTGGTCCCGCGAGCAAACTTCACATTTGAATTCCCTGCACTGGAACCTGCTTCATCCCTACATGATCTCGAGAAACTCCGTGGCATCATCGATCTGGAGAAAGTTGTCGTCATCACTGGATTCGCTGAGGTTGGTCCTTGGGGTAGTTCACGTACTCGTTGGGAAATGGAGGCACGAGGAGAGTTCACCATTGAGGGTTGTATTGAGATGGCCTGGCTCATGGGTTATATCAAGCACTTCGATGGGCGTCTCAAGGACGGTTCATTGTACGTTGGCTGGGTTGATTCTAAGGCGGGCGAGCCTGTCGACGACAAGGACGTCAAAAATCGTTATGAGAAAGAGATTTTGAGTCACGCTGGTGTACGCATGATTGGTGAGTCGCATTCCAACTTTGATTGGTCAGTTATGAATCTCCTCACAGAGCCTGAGCTGTTCCGCGGCTATGATCCCAAGAAAAAGGTCTTCAACCAAGAAATCGAGCTCATTCATGACTTGGAAGCAATTGAAGTTGCGCAATCTGAGGCTGAGAAGTTCAAGTATGAGCATGGCGACAAATGTGATATTTGGACCGGAGAAGGTGATCAGTGGTTCGTCAAATTCAAGAAAGGTGCGAGGGTGTTTGTTCCCAAGGCGTTCAAGTTCAGTCGCCTCGTTGCTGGTCAAATTCCTACTGGATGGGATGCTGGCCGCTACGGTATCCCGCCAGATATTATCGCTCAAACAGATCGTGCCACTCTCTGGGCCCTTGTTTGCACTGCTGAAGCTTTGAACATGTCTGGAATTACCGATCCCTACGAACTATACAAGTACTTCCACCCCTCTGAAGTTGGCACGTGCGTTGGCAGCGGCATGGGTGGCACGGAAAGTCTTGCGCAAATGTTCAAAGACCGCCGCGAAGAAAAGGACGTTCAGAACGATATCTTGCAGGAGACGTCAGTCTGCCCGACTTTTCTTGACAAATATGCACGACTGACCTATCTTCACAGTTTTATCAACACTACTGCTGGATGGATTAACCTTCTTTTGATGTCTTCCAGTGGCCCAGTGAAGATTCCTGTTGGCGCTTGGTGAGTGTTCATAAGGATTCATAGTTTGCTGTTCCTCAAGTTTTCTGAAATTTCAGTGCAACTGCACTGCAATCTCTCGAGATTGCCTCTGATACATTGTTATCTGGGAAGGCGAAAGTCATGATTGCTGGTGGATTCGACGACATCAGTGAGGAAGGGTCTTACGAGTTCGCTAACATGAAGGCCACGAGTAACGCTGAGACCGAGTTCGCCATGGGACGTGAGCCTACTGAGATGTCCCGTCCCGCTACAACCACTCGCTCAGGCGTAAGTCCTCTGATCCATATGCTAGATATATTGAACTCACCGACTTTGCCCAACAGTTCATGGAGTCTCAAGGGACTGGTATACACATCATCATGACTGCAAAGACAGCCTTGGAAATTGGTGCTCCTATCCGTGGTATTTTGGCATTCACGTCAACTTCCACGTAAGTTGACATCAAACCTGAAAGACGTTTAATTACTCACCATTCTACAGTGACAAGGCTGGACGATCTATCCCAGCTCCTGGTCGCGGTGCTCTTTCTGTCGCAAGAGAACTCCCATCGAAGTACCCCCTTCCTAGTCTCAGTCTTGATCACCGATCTCGCCAGATCTCCTTCAGACGCAAGCAGATCTCCGAGTGGCTCGACCATGAGCTTGCTCAGCTGCGGGAGGAGATGGATGCTCTGCAGGCCGATGCCAAGGATGTTGACAAGGAATACTTCTCATCCCGTGTTGCCGATATCGAGAAGGAAGCTCACCGCCAAGAGAAGGAGGCCTTAGCTACGTATGGCATGCTAGAGGGTACTGATGCTCGTGTGGCACCTATGCGCCGTGCACTCGCGGTGTGGGGATTGACAACAGATGACATTGGTGTCCTCTCGATTCACGGAACGAGTACCGGTGCGAATGAGAAGAACGAAACGCAGATCTGGCACAACATCTTCGAGTCCATGTCACGCACCCACGGCAATGCCGTTCCTGTTATTGCTCAGAAGAGCTTGCTTGGACACTCGAAGGGTGGTTCAGCGGCGTGGCAGATGGCTGGTTTGTTGCAGACTGTCATTACTGGTATTATCCCAGGTAACCGCAATAGCGAGTGAGTACTCTGTCGTCAAATTGGCTTCGCCCGCTCATGGCATCCCTTAGCAACATTGATGCCCGATTCGAAGCTCATCACTTCCTCATGTTCCCGTCGAGGTCTATTCATACTGATGGTATCCGCGCTGGCGTCATGGTGAGTTCGACTGATCTGTGTTCATCACGGGGGCTAATACCATGGCTACTAGTCATCCTTCGGTTTCGGTCAAGTCGGTGGCACTGCAGTTGTTGTTCATCCCCGTTATCTCTTCGGTGCTCTCGAAACCTCCGATTATGAGTCCTACAAGATACGCAACCAGTCCCGTGCGCAAGAGGCATACAAGGTCATGACTGAGATGATGACTTCCAACACCCTTGTCAAGATCAAGGAAAGCCCGCCGTACAGTCCCGAGCTGGAGCAGGCGGTTCTCATGAACCCCATGGCTCGTGCTACCTTCAACCCGAAGACTCGCAGCTATTCATACACCGCCAGCCTTGATAAGAGCATTCCATTTGATACTGCCAACGCCAAGGTTGTTGCAGATGCTCTTGCGTCACAAGGATCTGTGGCAGGAATCGGTGTCGATCAAGAGCTGATCTCCTCCGTTCCATCCTCTAACCCTTGTTTTGTCGAACGCAACTTCACTGAAGATGAGATTGCCTACTGCCGCGCCCAACCGTCACCACCGTCCTCCTTCGCAGCTCGATGGGTAGGAAAGGAAGCAGTGTTCAAGTCGCTGGGCGTGCCGTCAAAGGGTGCTGCCGCTGCGATGAAGGACATCGAGATTCTGCCTAACGAGTCTGGTGTTCCGACTGTAACCCTTCACGGCAACGCGAAAGCTGCTGCACGGGGCAAAGGGATTACCAATGTGTTAGTATCCTTGAGTCATTCTGAGGTATGTGTCGTGAACCCACATCACCAAATCATGACCTGACATGTGCTTTCAACAGACCGTTGCTATCGCTTTCGCTCAAGCTTCATAGAAAATCGTTCACCTTGGACCCTCATGATTGGCATGTTTTCGAAAATTCAATACTTTACGCATGAATGAAATTGATATCCGTTGTTGTAACATAGAGTAGACTGGAACATAATAGATTTCTTTGATTTCAAGGCTCGTGGCAGCATCAAGAAACATACAAGCTGTTCTGAATGATATAGTTGGCGATAGATGGTGTAACGAGTTCCTTCCATGTCTCATCCTTGAGCGCAACCTTTGTTCTCACTTGGCTTGAGCTGGTTTGCTCGTCGACGTTGTCAGCACCTAAGCTGATCAAGGCAACTCGCTCGCTCTCTACGAACTCCCTCGCCATGAATAAAGTCTTCGCTTCTACTTCCTCTTGTACCGTATCTTGTACTTCTGCCAATTTTCGCCGAGCACACGCCACATAACAATTATCTCCCGTAGGCGAGAAAAACAAACGAAGAGCATCCATCATTGCAGCTTCAGATGCATAATATCTCGGAGACAGCAGGCGGACGAGAGTATCAAAGCCTAATAGGAATACTAGGCGTGGATCTGGTATTGATATTCCGTCATAAGTGGGTGATATTGCCATCTCATCCAGAGCAGTTGCCGGATGATACATGCCTGAACATCGCGCATGCAGGAACTGCCGAAGAACTACGGCTTTTCCGACAAAAGTTGGTTCATCGACGATGGCTATTGCGACGTTGGCATGCTCAGGTTCAGAATTATCCTCGAGGCGCTGCGAGACAGATGCTAGCATGTCCTTTGATAAGAGGTACATCATCTCCAGACGCTGCTCATACGTTGCATCACCAGGTTTCAGTGCTTTGTCAGCGTTCCGCACGGATAGCAGCAGTAGCTTTGCATCGTAATCAAGCTCAGCTGTTGAGCTCGTGAGACCAGGTTTTGTATACCGTGGAGGACGAGAGTTTGCCAGAGCAAGATGAGCGCATGTCGGTGGATTGAAGGAAGAGTCTAAGATAGATATACGAATGGTGTCAAGTTTGCGTTGCGGGTGAGTGGGCAGTCGAGGGAAAGGCCAACGTTCATGGGACGTGTACACGAGTTCCAGAGGAGACTCGTGCCTCTGTACTTTCTGGAGGAGTTTGAGTGCGTGACCGGGAGGCCACAGGGGTTTCGCATTCATAATTTATTTCTGCTGCAATGGCATCGGAGTGCGGTAGATCTGGCCTTGTATGGTTTAACAAGTCGGCGAGTATTCCATGATGAATGTACCCACCAGGAAGAAATGATGACCTAGATAAGGTACACTTACGTAAAGTTAGATCTGACTCGTGAGTCGTCTGCTTAACTTTACCTTCCATAATCGGACGACAAGCAAACCATCTTTCGCTCCAACCATCACTCATGGAGAAGGACGCAGACGGTTTTTATGCCCCCAAACTGGAAGGTTCGTGACGAATCTCTACCAGGTACTATAAACTTGACACTTTGCAGCTTCTGCGCCACCTGCACAGGCTGAAAGCAAGGGTACGAAGGAGGCGGAACAGCCTGAGCCTGTTCCATCTTCAAGTTGTGCGTGCATGTCCTGTCATTGTCTCACAGCGAAACTTATTCTACACTCTTAGCTACAACTGACTTGATCGCGTCGACATTCGAGGTCACAGTACGTTAAGAAGCCACAATACTAGATTGTTAAATGACTCACTACATTTTCAGGTCACACTTGCAGACCAGCAGGCCGACCCGAATTCCCCTTTATTTAGTGCTAAGACATTTGAGGAGCTTGGACTGTATGTTGTCGTATTCTCTTATTTTATGCATCTTTAACGATTGATTGTAGTCATCAAGATTTATTGAAGGGTCTCTATGATCTTGGTTTCTCAAAGCCCTCGAAGATCCAAGAGCGTGCTCTGCCGCTACTGCTCTCGAATCCGTAGGTATACCAGCTCGTGTAACATGGAACTAGGTTACTGATCACTGCCTCAAGCCCTCAAAACATGATCGGACAATCGCAATCTGGCACAGGCAAGACTGCCGCATTTGTGCTTACCATGCTGAGCCGTATAGATTTTTCCAAGAACAAGACACAGGTCAGTGCTGTGTGCACCTTTCCAGCTTTTCGTTAAGACTAGCTGCAGGCACTGTGTCTAGCTCCTTCACGAGAACTTGCACGTCAGATTATGACTGTTGTCGTTGCTATGGGCAAATTTACTCCAGTTCAGACGGAGTACGCAATAAAGGATAATCTTCCAAAGGGCGCATCACGGATAACTGCTCACATTGTCGTTGGGACTCCGGGAACAATGGCAGATCTTTTAAAAAGAAGGGTCATCGATGCATCTGAAGTCAAGGTGTTCGTTCTCGATGAAGCAGATAACATGTTGGATCAGGATGGACTTGGTGACCAAACGTTACGAGTCAAGAAGTGAGTACGTTTTTCTCTCATTTGGGCTACAATTCACAAAAAATCGATGTAAGCCTCGTTCCCCGAACAGGCGTTCAAATTATCCTGTTTTCGGCAACATTCCCCGATCACGTCCGCAATTTTGCTAGTAAATTTGCTCCCAGTGCGAACAAAATTGAACTTCAGAGAGAGGAACTCTCTGTGGACGGCATCCGGCAATTTTACATGGATTGCAGAAATGAAGAACATAAATACGATATCCTCGTGTCCCTGTACCAGCTTTTGACGATCGGTCAGAGTATCATCTTCTGCCAGGTTAGCAGGATGGCGCCCGCCTGCTCGCACCTTAATAACCATTCCCTTCACTCTTTCTAGCATCGCCATACAGCAGATAGAATATCTCAACGCATGTCAGCTGAGGGTCACAAAGTGGCATCACTGCATGGTGCCAAGGACGCCGCAGAACGTGATGCTATTATTGACAACTTCCGTGAAGGACGGGAAAAGGTCCTTATCACGACGAATGTCATCGCGCGTGGCATCGACATCATGCAGGTCAACATGGTAGTGAATTACGACTTGCCGTTGATGAATGAACGGGGAAATCAACACTCCAATGACGCAAAACCTGACGTTGAGACGTACATCCACCGTATTGGTAGGGAGTTTCAAATATGCATTCCGTGCCTTACTAACAACTCTGTTTCTCAAGGCCGCACTGGTCGCTTCGGACGCAGGGGTATCTCAATAAACTTTGTCCATGACCGCAGAACCTGGTCACAGATGGAGGAGATTGAAAAGACACTGAACAAGAAGATTATCCGAATAGACACCAAGGATCTGGATGAGATGGAAGAGGTGCGTGCATAATTTTTGATTCGCCTATCACTAGGAAATCTGATTTCATTTCTTTGCAGACCATGAAGAAGGCGTTGAAATAATCTGTGCTCTTGTACCTGGATGTGGATCGTCTGTTGTATTCTTTTTCTAATCATGTTATATCGCCTTGCGACCTCGATCGGCCATGCGTTCGTGGCTGGATGGAAGTTTCAATGCGTGCAATTTGTACTGTAATTCCTGAATCTGGATGTGTACCAGGGGTCGAGGAAATAGTAAAAAGCGGGTACATGTGGCAATCGACGAAAATGGCCTGTGTCTACGCGAGACCTAGTAACATACTTTATGTAGCAATGGCAAGGCATTGGAATTACTGGATGTCATTACTTCTATCGAGTACCACGAAAGACGATCTGGATAGGTATCAGTGGGCAGCCAGAAGAGACTGAGATGTCGTTAACACACTGAAGCTACGAGGAACTGCCAGACATAACGAGCGCGCTGGTTTTGTAGTATAGAAATCCAAGACCAGGAATAGGGATTTCTTTCGATTGTCTGCAAAATATTGTGAGCAGCAAGTCAGAAGTATGGGAGCGACCTTACAACTCGCGCACTGCAATGAGGGAATCGTTAAGAACAGTGAACGTGTGATTGGTTCATGCTCACCTCGAATTACAAAATTGGCCAAGACTGCGAAGAACAGAAGTGCGCTGATGAGGACAGGTCCAACGATGTGGTCTATAAATTGACAGTGAGCTGGGATCGACTATAAAGTGATTAGAATGACCATAATGTCCAGGGTCGCGTTTGCGAATCATCGTGATCCTATTCTGATAGATCAAAAAACCGTAGACCTAAATCTCGCAGCATAAGCATCGGTTTATTGCAAATAGCAGGCTTGCGGGTGTTCACCAAAACACCGATGCTAATCACGGCATAAGCATACGCAAATCTTCGGGCTACCACGTCTTCGGACGCATTGAAGAGGGCGAGCGCCAAGGTACCCAATAGCACAGCAAGATTTAGCCAGGATATCCATGCTTTAACAGGCGTTAGCAAATGACAGGAGAGAGGGAAAGGATCGATGCTAACTCCGTTCATTGGCGAACCATACCTTTCCCTCTATCTTCAGAGACGTCGCCACTTTCTTGGGAACACGGATCTGAGGCGGAACAGAGTTGATGGCATTGTAATCTCTGATGGTAGGTCTTTGCCCATTAATGTCGTGGTCCACGTCTGGAATATCATCTTCTCTCGTGTAACGCACCGGCCGTTGGTTGTTTTCGGGGAGAGATGCTAGCGCAGATGAAGAGAACGGAAAAATTGCGGTCCATGATCGCCTAAACAGGCCAACGTGCGCGTCGTCTTCGGGCGGTTTATTAGAGGCCATGCTTTAGACAAAATACTAGTTATATAACTTGGTGAGTTAAATGTTGCAACTCATGGGGCCTGGGCCAAGGAGTAGGTTGATTACTAATAATCGAGGTACTAATGAGTTACTCGGCTTCCATCTCCTCCCCTCGTAATTTTTTTTCACCTTGGATAGACTCTATTAACAGCGAGGCAAATTCTAATGTCTTGTTTTCTTCGACATCAAGTTACAGAGGACAGAATATTAGAATTTTCGGCCTCGAAGAGTATGAAATTCGAAATACGGTACGTCACACATCATCCCTCGTGTGAGCTTTGAAGGCCAGATCTACACTCCCAAACGCTACAGTCGAGGCTTTGATATCATTTTGGACTTGACTATTCCTAGAAAGCGAAGAAAAAATAATGAGGCCTCAACTCCCGTCCCAGGCAAGTGGTTGATTCTGAAGGAAGGTCAAGGTCATTTTTATCGACCATGTCCTCAGAAGAGAGCCTCCTGCTCCAAATTAAGGATCTCCGCGTCGCTGACGATTTGAATATGTTTTTTTTAATCGCAGCTGCAAGGTTGAGTACGACACTGCTTAGAACACTGCTCTATCAATACGCAGAATGCTGTTAACCTATTCTGTAGTGTTGCGATGACGGTGTTTATATCCAATCAGGATTAGCACATAAAAGGGCAGGGTATTACGGACACATGCTCACACAATAGTGTTAAAGATGTCTCCCCTGATGGTGCTGTCTGCTATGATGTCGACCGGTTCTTGCGATGCGCTAGCCTCCTCAAGGTTGACATCATCCGCCTTCAGCCGCACATTGTCATCATCATGATTGCCCGCGATGTACTACCCCAGTTACAAGTTTGCGCAGACTCCAGGTCTGGGTCTGGGTCAGCCAGAACTCTGGCATTCATCAATAACCGACTTCTCTGATGCGGTCGCTATATCAGCTGGATCTGGAGGTGGAGCAAAAGGACGCAGCATTCCAACGGGACGTTAGGCGGCGGGCGCGTTGGCGGGATTGATTGGCATGGCCGTTCAAACACCGGGCGAGGTTTAAAGTCTGCCATCATCGAGCCTCTCAGTTTTCTAATGGTGTCCCGTCCTTCAGCACCTGCGTCATTGTTTCTGAACTTTCGCGAATTAATGTGGTTTTCCGATGGAACTCACTGCGCTTGCTTCATCCTCTTCCGCCTTTCTCTCAGTCCTTTCGATTGCCGGGGCTTTGTGTCCCTATCTCCAGGACATGGCTCTCAGAATTCAGTTTGCAGCCGACGAGTCGTGGGGTAAAATATCACCCTTTGTCGCACAACCTATTTACAAGCTCTACCATCTTCGTTCGTTAATGGTGTGCGATCTAGGATACAACGGTATCGAACGTGTTATTAACAACGTGCGTCTTGAACTTATTCAGCTCACTCCAGGTTATGAAGCAAAGAGATTAATCGATTAAGGTTTACTTCAATCAAGTTGATCGTTCCTTCCCAAACGAATCTATGACGTTACCCCAGTTCTTCACCGAGATGCGACTTGAAGGTCTCACTCTGCCAAACGTAAATAATGAGATTGGGCCAGTACCATAAACACAGCGGAGTTAGTCGCTATTGAGTTGTATGACATTATCCCGATCATGGTCACTGCCAACATCCCAAGCCTTTCCCTCGTTTCTTTTCACGTTCTCATTAAGTATTCGAGTGGCGTCTTGTACCACGAACCAATAGCCATTTGAGCTTTGAGTTTGAAGGCCTGTGAACTGATACCGTGTTGAACTATGAATGACCACAGTGAAATGCTTGTTTTGCGTTCGCAGAAGATGCCAATTTATGCTGCAGTCGAGGGGCATCAAAATTCGAGAGTCATCCAGATCACATACCTGGAGCAGATAAGTCCAACGCCATTTGAGGGTCTCGAGCGTTCTCCCAATACTTTAGAACTCCATCGATAGTACGAGCGAGTCCAATCATGGCAAATCGTGCAGACTCCGTCGTCAGAGTCATCGATGTCGTATTTTGAGCATTTTCTCTGCAAGTTAGTCAGATACATCCTGATGTTGGTGACCTTGAAATTTTGGATGTTGATGACCCAGTGCTATACCCACAACCCGTAGCACCCAACCGGCGCGCTACTCGGGGACTTCTCATACGATGCGACTGGAAAACGACACAATCTCGAATAAGGGCTATGCATACGGCGGCCCGCCTGTGGACTGGTCCGTGGACTTTCCCACGCATGCTCTACCTTGAGTTGGCGTTGACGTCAGTGACTCCAGACAGTTCTGGGATGTTCTGGGAAAATCGAAAGGGTGATCTTGAACTTGCCTGAATTTGAGGCCCGCAAGGATTATATAGTATTGACTTCCAAGTAAAGTCACATCTAGTTGCAACGACGACATACATCACCATATGGGTGCCGACTACTACAAGACCTTGGGCATTTCCCGGGATGCTGGGGAAGATGAAATCAAGAAGGCATACAAGAAAATGGTATGTGATGCACCTTATGCTCGCCCCTACTCAAGTTGACATCTCGTTTGCAGGCTCTAAAATGGCATCCAGACCGCAATGGAGGGTCTGAAGAAGCCTCAAAGAAGTTTAAGGAGGTAAGTGAGACATTCCGCTGTATGCTCCTAGCTGACGGATTATTAGATTTCAGAAGCATTTGAAGTCCTCAGTGACAAGAACAAGCGAACCATATACGACCAAGTTGGTGAAGAAGGTCTCAAAGGCGCAGGGTCTGCGCCTGGTGCTGGATTCCCTGGTTTCGCTGGTGGCTCAGGCTTCCCAGGGGGGGCCACATTCACTTTCACATCCAGCCCCGGTGGTGGTGGGGGCGGTGCGTTTGCGCCAAGTGACCCACAAAAAATATTTGAGTAAGCAACATGCATGCATTTCTGAGCATTCAATATAACTAAACATTCTTGTAGACAAATATTCAGCCAATTTGGCGGTTTCGGGGGTGGCTCTGGAGGTATGGGAGGTATGGGCGGTTCACCAATATTCGGTGGCATGGGCGGTCCTTCAAGTTTTGGTGGCAGGAGTGGTGGCAGGAGTGGTACGAGTGGCATAGGCAGAAGTCCAAACATTTTTGATGATGATGATATAGGTGGTGGCGGGTCTTTCTTTGGAATTCCGGGGGGCATGCCATCGGAGCGACCATCTCCTAGACATCAATCATCTACGTCAACGTCAACCTCGACCCCAGCACCTTCAGAAACCGTTCGCCCACTGAAACTCTCACTTGAAGAATTATTTTCGGGTACGACTAAACACCTGAAGGTCGGCCGACGACTGGCGGGGGGCTCTACGGAGGAGAAGGTGCTTGAAATACAAGTTCTCCCGGGATGGAAGAGCGGCACAAAGATACGGTTTCCTCGAGCCGGGAATGAGCAGCCGAACGGCGAGGCGCAAGATCTAGTATTCGTCGTGGAGGAGAAACCACAATGATGTTTTCACACGGGAGGAAGATAATCTGATTTGCCGGGTCAAGATACCCTTGGTGGACGCACTCACAGGCGCAGACGGAAAGAAGACCATCATGGCTCTGGACGGCCGGAAATTGCAAATCCCTCTGCCTGGTGGCGTAGTGAAACCAAATCAGGAGACAAGAATTCCGAACGAAGGGATGCCGATTAGAAAACAGGGCAGCACGAAGAAGAGAGGAGACATTATAGTGCGGTGGGATATCGTATTTCCAGACCGTCTTACGCCCTCACAGAAAGAGGGGCTGAGGAAGTTATTGGGGTAAATTAGCATATCAACTGTACTTTTTAATTCATTGCAGCATGCACCATGGCCAACGATAACGTGTAGATTGTGACATTGACAATGATTCAGGACGGGACGTGATGTTCATCGAATTGCAGTGTCGGAAGCCGGTGACCTTGTCCGCGGTCGATATCGAAACCTGACCCGGATCATAGACTCATTAGCACAAACATAGAACAAGAACAAGCAAATCGATCAACATTCCCGCGAATGAATGTGTAGACTAGCGCTTTGAATGTGAAGCCCGGGTGCAGCGGAAATCTAAATACCGATGAGAATGCGCGTTTGATAGGCTGACCGAGAATAGTTATGGGCGAGACCAGTAAGAGTGTCGAGTAGATGAAAGAAACGCTGGACGTGCCTGTTCCTGCGATCCTTTGTGAATGTTGCCTTTTCGTCGACATACTCCACTAAAGTGTGTAGGTAATAAAGTAACGGAATATCCTTGCAGCGATTCGAAACACCACTAATACGCGCCCATGACGCGGAGTCCCGATAGCAGTGGGGTAAAGCTATGAATATAAGAGCACGAGGCGGCGCTATCGGCGATTAGACTGCGAGCCACTCGGAGCGGGGTATAGTTCATAAAAGTCTTAGACTTACGGCCTTGGTGTGGGGTAGTCTGAAACCAGGGAAACCATGCCGAAGAACGAAAGGTCCTCGGAGGAGATGGTGTCTGCTGCTCAGAGAGCTTCGCTGGCCTAGGACGTTAACTTGTGGACTCGGAAGCAGTGGAGAACCGAATAAAAAAACCTTCGAGTTGTCACACCTCCAACACACGAGTATGGGAATTCATGATTTGGCTAGACCCTCGGGGAAATGTGAGTCAGCTTCTGAACTGGAGTGATGATGGCCTGGTTTCCACTTGATATGATTGATTGATTGTCGGCCTCTAATAGAGTCAAAGGCATGATGAATACATACTAATAACACCGCAACCTTACACGTACCCAAAATGGAACCAAGTACAACTTGGCCGTTAGTTGTCCTTCTGACTACTGTTTAGTCCCGCTAGCTGCGCCGGGTAATCAAGAAACACGATAAGCCAACAAGCTCTAGTGCAGTCCAATTATCCTGGTGCACAGCAGCGCTAGTCCATCCGACACAAATTGATCAAGTGATTACTCACAACAACACGCGGAATTTCCGTGCTGAACACGAGGCAGGGTTGTTTTCAGTATGTGACCTGCAGGCAGTTGTATTTCATGATCGCTTCAGAAGCTATCTACAAGTTGGAAAGTACGTTTCGGATCGGCTTTTAACGAGCCTTCTCTCTCACATATAAACGCTACCCTGCGCTACAAAAGAAATGATAATCATCCCCCCACTCCTGCAGCTCTTCCTGCTTACCTCCCTGTGCGACTTCCGAGCCTTGTAAACCCACTCTCATTACTCTCCAACGATGCCCATAACTGCTCGCCAACCAGAATATTATAACGCCCTTGGCCTCACTATTGACGCTACAGACGAAGATATCAGAACTGCATACAAGAAACTGGTATGTTCTCAGCTTCCATTCCACATAACAGTGCTCACCCTCAACTCAATAGGCCCTTCAGTGGCACCCCGACCGTCATAAGATCGGGAAAGAACACGCAGCGCAGGTGTTTGTTGAAGTAAGCGGTGTGCGTTGTGTCCTCTAAGTAGTCTGACATTCAACATCATCATTTCCAGGTAAACACTGCCTACCATTCCTTGATCAATGGCACAGAAGGCATGGATCCTTCCTGTGGAGACAGTGTCTCACCATTATCTACGCCCACTGAGAGCACAGCCAAAAGCTCTTCCGCGGAGACACGAGCACAAGCCAATGCACAGTCATCGCGTCATACAAAGTCGTCGGGCTCACAGAAGAGTGCGCAGACGCCCGATTCGTTCTCCGCTTTCGTTCCCGGCTCTGACGCTGAAAAACATTCTCAGCCTTGTTCACACGACCATCATTCCGATCTAAAGCATCATCCTCATAAGCCTTGTAGCACAGGTAGCAATGGCTCTCGTTCCCGCTCCCGAACAAAATCATACGATAACTTACGTGATGCACCATCTGCGCCTGGTCAAGCGCCGTCTTTTACCACGAGCGCTAGTCGTTCTCATAGCAGTCGCACGAACATTCCTCACTCCAAGTCACATGACAATTTGCGTGATCCTTTACTCAAGTCGCACGAGCCGCAATTAGGACAAGTGCCTGCTCCCATCTCACACGATCTGAAGTCGGAGACTTCGAACCGGTCTAAAAACAACCAGACGGCTGGATCTACCTCTACACATTCCAAAGGTCGCACACGCGCTCCGAATGGTGCAAAGTCATTGCGAAGTCAAACTGGTAATTTCTCGCAGCCTGTGATTCCACCGACATCATCCAAGTTACATAAACTATCTCGGCGTGGACTGGGAGAGTAAGTGATCTATCTTCAACACTATCACAATTAATTTACTGTTCCATAGGGAGCTGCTCCAAAAGCTTTCCAAGGGGTCATCTAAGTACAAAAAAGAAGAGGGTTCAACTTACTCAGACAACGCTCCCACGTATGGCTCCCCGTTACGACCCCTTGGTGCGCCTCGAGGCACATCCAAAGAGTGGTTGTTTCCTCTTCCGCTGACCCTTCACGAAATGTATCATGGGACGGCTTTCCAATTTCTCATCACACGGGAGCTATTATCCCGCAAGACAGAACAAGTCGAGATCCATGTCGATGTACCTCCAGGTATCCGAAGCGGAACTAGGATCGTCTGTCCCCGTACAGGTCACCAGCGGAAGGATGGGTCTCTTCAGGACGTAATATTCTTGGTTGAAGAAGTGCCTCATGCGGGTTTCACTAGGGTGAAAGACGATTTGTTCGTGGACATTTGCGTGCCATGGGTGGAGACCCTTGCCGAGCTTGGGGCCGATATCAGTATAGATGGCATGGATGGGGAAGAGATTGTCTTCGCACTGCCATATCCAATCTACGACAAGTCTACGGAAGGGCAATTGCTAGTCAAAGGAGCGGGCATGCCAATTCGGGATGGTCGAAAGACAGTGGGTCGCGGTGATTTGATTGTCAGGTAAGATCGCAGCTGCGGATATTCTGCCCGTCGTCGCTGACAGTTCTTAGATGGCAGGTGGTTTTCTCGCACCCTAGCAAATGGAAGAACCTCAAGAAAGCCCTGCGCATCAAGGTATAATCAATTGGGAAGGACATTTCTGATTGCGATGGACATTTTATGGGAATATGTATACATATCGCATCGAACACATGTCGTTGTACGTCAGGAGGCGAGGCATCGGAATACACAACTAGCAATGTAAAGTATTCATCCAGTATATGCCATGGACATTATTGATATCATTACGACATATGGTATCACTTCAACTCACGCATAGGAAACACAGTACCACTAGCTACTGGTCACATTCTGGTCCAACGGCGGAACCGGAAGGTTAGCTTGTAGCCTTGTACCTCATCTAAATGAATGCTACAACGTGACCTGCCCTCGAGGTAGATGCCTTAATCTCGTAGCGCCCCCCACCCCTCAACATCATCGATTTGGACATTAGGGTCAACGGCCCTCAAAATATCGGCTAAAGTCCACGATGGAGCTACACGTTGGCGTAGTGTACCCCTTCTTGCGCAAGACCCAACTTTGACTCTGCTATCGGGGCTGCAAGATTGGCAGATGCCAGGACTTCTGTCAACTCACTTGAGAGATAGAGGACATGAATGGAACAGCCAGTTCTGCCTAGATCTGATACGCGGTCAGAGAAACCTGCAGAACGAGATGATTAAAGGTGGAAACGCCTAAAAACACATCATGTCATTGACTCGTCGCTTGCTCAGTCGTTCGTCGCCAGGTTTTTTCATACACATTTATTACGCCACTGCACGTGACACCGGTACCAACGCCAGATCATGTCTTCCATCAAATCTTCGTCGAACACCACCTACCAAGGTCGCGATCGATCGACAAGCTGTGTGAGACGAATACCATGGCCACAAAGCCAATACTCCTCGCAGGAAGCTCGAAGGCAGTTCCACTGCTTCAGAGCCCCGTCGGCGTGCCAAATGTCCCGTCAATGAGTTTTGAAATGCCATAACCGGTGTAATGCATTGCAGGACAGGGCTGTCAGAAGGAAGAGTCAGGCGAATCGACTAGCACTGACTAGTGGTGCTTCCATTCCTCTGACGTACAGAGACAAAGATCTTGCCGGCGGCCACGTGACAAACCACGCCCATCCAACGCGTTTCTGACGCGTGTTTGCTCAGCTTATTGGTGAACCTACATAAAGTCAGCAGATCTGACGCCTCATTGTAAGCCCTTTCTTCCAGTTCTTTTTCCTTTACACCAGAAACTCAAACATGGCATCGTTTTTTCGTCGTCCTCCCAATAATTCATGGTCTGACCACATACTTTTGAAAGTAAAGCAAATATATTGATGGAATGTGACCATTTTTGATGTGCTCGCTTTTAGATGGCCAACATTGTTGGAGCGCTCTTTGTCATGGGAGCAAATGGCTACACAGTCATTTCTCCTTTGGACGTCTATTACACAGGGAAAGAGACGTACTTTACTCCTGCTCCCTGGGCATACTTCCTTTGGTGAGAAACATGCACGCTTCACGTGGCAGGCGCTTACCGCCAACAGGCCTGTCATTCACCTGCTAGTCCTCGGAACATGCACCTACCAGTTCTCCGGACGGGGTAAGGAGCTCATTATCGACACCATCGGCTGGCATCTCCCGCTTCTCGATTTTCTGAATGCTATGTACATCTATTCCTGGACGAACCAGGAGTACAAATATTGTCAGCCATCTTAATTTCTCACTCGTACAATTTGCTGATGTGCATCGTAGCTTTGGTTTTCATCATCTTCACTTGTTCAGTCGTATCGGTAAGTCGTTATTTACTACTTCCTAGTCGAACGACACAGCTTAATTGTCTATTTAGAAAATTTACCGAGATGTGAAACTGAGCGCTGTACGCAATATCTGCGACGAACTCTTCCTGCATCTTCCGTTCTCCCTCTATCACGGCTGGACGACGTGCTTGATCTTCACCACCGCCTTTGCGGCTTTTGGTGTGGATGCCGAAATCGAGCCAGAGAGGTTCTGGACCAAAGTATTCGTCTTCCTCAGCTTGTAAGTCATACTTATTCACTTGATCTGGGTGGTATCTGATCCTGTATTCCCAGGTTCACGCTCCAGGCCATTGCATCCGCCTATGCGCTCGCGTCCGCAGAGGGCGAGCTTCCTGCTTGTCTTGCTGTCTCCTGGTTCATATGGGCTATCTTTGTACACCAAACGGAAAGGTCGCCGTTTGTGCACTGGTGTGCGCTTGGGGCTGCTATCCTGTCGTTGTGCTGGCTCATGCGGAGTGCAATCGGTTTGGAGTTTAAGATTAGGACCAGAAACGCCAACAATGGTAGGTTTTTCGGTGGTAATGACAACGAGGGCTCTCGACTTTTGGGAGGACATTAAGTGGAGGCAACATCATTGCAAGTGGAATGAGGTGTTAGGGCGTTGCGCAAGTTGGTGCCCTGTGACGAGGAGCACGTGTAGTTTTTTTCTCTTTCAACCCTATATTTGTACACCATATGAACTCAACTTGATACATGTTCGTGACTTTAATAGCCCATAGTCCTTGTCAGCATTTCATCGATGTTAATTTATCGTGTTCCGTGCGCCTATTCCAAGATGAGCAAAAAGCATGGCTAAAATGTACAACAGCACAATGAAAGCCCTAAGATAAAGATCGAATAAACCGTTGTCACGAAGCTTCCGATTTCGCCGCACAGTAGTATTCCGTGGGTAACTTGAACTGTCTGATGAGTTATCCACTGGATATTCATCGCCGGCAAAATCAGTCCGACAGTTCCGGGCGCTGCAAAATTTTACATTCTACCATGCAAAATTTGGGTCGATTTACAAGTATAGATCTAACCTATAGTCCCAGTCTGCTTTTGTCAAGACCTTTTCTTGCACAACAGTGCTTGCCGGCGGAAGAGTGATGGTATTCCTCGGTGCTGCAGGTGCCAAATTCTTGTCAGCAAGCATTGGATGGTTTGAGAAGAGTGTGCCGCTATTCTTTAGCCAGGGCTCATAACCTGTTAAAGAGTGAGAGCTAAGGTAGTGCGAGTCTCAGTCAATGGTAAAGAGACTCGTACTCCTATAGTACGAACCTAAGGTAGCGCGAGCCTAGAGATATGCTAATCAGTATCATGTACTGTAGAATTGGAATGATATGCTCACCCCAATCAAGTGACTGGTAAGGAGATTGAGGTGACTGCCTTAAGTAACAAAGAGAGAAAAATAGTAACCAGGTGAGTGACATGCAATGACAGCTATGATATATTGGAGTGATACCGGATCACCTCTCGAACGCACATGAGCGATGGCTCGTAGATGAATCAGCACAGCGACAAGAATAACAACTCCAAGCGCACACCAGTGCACAAACGGCGACCTTTCTGTTTGGCGAATAAAGATAGCCCATAGGAACCAGAGGACTGCAAGACAAGCAGGAACATCGCCCCTGCGGACGCATAGAGGCAGACGAATGCAATGGCCTGGAGCGTGAACCTGAGAACACAGGATCAGATACCACCCAGATCAAGTGAATAAGTATGACTTACAGGCTAAGGAAGACGAAAACTTTGGTCCAGAACCTCGCCGGCTCGATTTCGGCATCCACACCAAAAGCTGCAAAGGCGGTGGTGAAGATCAAGCATGTCGTCCAGCCGTAATAGAGGGAGAACGGAAGATGTAGGAAGAGTTCGTCGCAGACGTTGCATACAGCGCTCAATTTCACATCTCGGTAAATTTTCTGAATAGACGAATAAGCTGTGTCGTTTGACTGGGAAGTAAATAACGACCTACCGATACAATTGAACCAGTGAAGATGATGAAAACCAAAGCTATGATGCGCATCAGCAAATTGTACCACTGAGAAATTAAGATGGCTGACAATATTTGTACTCCTGATTGGTCCAGGAATAAATGTACATGACATTCAGAAAATCGAGAAGCGGGAGATGCCAGCCGATGGTGTCGATAATGAGCTCCTTACCCCGTCTGGAGAACTGGTAGGTGCATGTTCCAAGAATCAGCAGGTGAATGACAGGCCTGGCCGCTTGGCAGTAAGCGCCTGACACATGAAGCGTGCATGTTTCTTACCAAAGGAAGTATGCGCAGGGAGCAGGGGTAAAGTATGTCTCTTTCCCTGTGTAATAGACGCCCAAAGGAGAAATGACTGTGTAGCCATTTGCTCCCACGACAAAGAGCGCTCCAACAATGTTGGCCATCCAAAAGCGAGCACGTCAAAAATGGTCATATTTCATCAATATATTTGCTTTACTTTCAGAAGTAGGTGGTCAGACCACGAATTATTGGGAGGACGACGAAAAAACGATGCCATGTTTGAGTTTCTTGTGTAAGGGTAAAATGACTGGAAGAAAGGGCTTACAATAGACGTCATATCTGCTGATTTTATGTAGGTCCACTAATAAGCTGAGCAAATACGCGTTGGATAGGCGTGGTTTGTCACGTGGCCGCCGGCAAGATCTTGTATTTGTACGTCAGAGGAATGGAAGCACTACCAGTCAGTGCTAGTCAATTCGCCCGACTCTTTCCTTCTGACAGTCCTGTCCTGCAATGCATTACACCAGTCATGGCATTTTCCGACTCCTTGACGGGACATTTGGTACGCTGACGGGGCTCTGAAGCAGTGGAACTGCCTTCGAACTTCCCGCGAAGAATATTGGCTTTGTGGCCATGGTATTCGTCTCACACAGCTTGTCGGTCAATCGCGACCTTGGTAGGTGGTTTTCGACGAAGATTTAATGGAAGATGTGATCTGCGTTGGTACCGGTGTCACGTGCAGTGGCGTGTGTACGAAAAACCTGGTACTGAGCAAGCGACGAGTCAATAACATGATGTGGTTTAAGCGTTTCCACCTTTAATCATCTTTGATTGAGGTGCGCATATTCTTCCTATTCTACAGTACATGATACTTATTAGCGTATCTCTAGGCTCGCGCTACCTTAGCTCTCACCCTTTAACAATGCGGAGTGCAATCGTTTTGAAGTTTAAGATAAGGACCAGAAACGCCAACAAATGGTAGGTTTTTCGGTGGCAATGACGAGGGCTCTTGACTTTTTGGGGGACATTAAGTGGAGGCAGCAGCATTGCAAGCGGAGTGAGGTGTTAGAGCGTTGCACAAGTTGGTACCCTGTGATGAGGAGCACGTGTAGTTTTTCTCTTTCAACCCTATATTTGTACACCATATGAGCTTGATACATGTTCGTGACTTTAATAGCCCATAGTCCTTGTCAACATTTCATCGATGTTAATTTATTGTGTTCCGTGCGCCTATTCCAAGATGAGCAAAAAGCATGGCTAAATGTACAACAGCAAAATGAAAGCCTTAAGATAAAAGATCGAAATACACCGCTGTTACGAAGCTTCCGACTTTCCCGCATAGGATTTGGATTTATTCAAACTTGATAGGTTCAACCTTTTTAGGAGACGGCAGCCCAATGAAGCCCGGAGGGGTTACCCTGGCTGGTGTAATCTGTGAGATTTGACCTTGTCGCGTTGGTGTCTGATGTTGACCAGTAATCAGCTTGGCCAATGCCAACGGCGGAGCACCGATCAACCGCGATACAGTCCATGGCAGTTCGAATTTTGCAGCTCCCGCCCAAGCAATATACCGGGAAAGTTCGAGATGCAACGTCGGATAATACGTCACAGACGTCTTGCGTGATATCTATAAAACCAAATACAATGAATGGCCATTCCACTATTAGGCCAGGTTAACCTCACCAAAATGATGCGCTCAAATCCAGAAGCAAATAAGTCAGAGTGGAAGCGGTGCGCAGACATGTCATGTTCCTTGGACAAATTAAGTTCATGAGCGCACTTGGCGATTGCGTTGATAAGTTTGAGGTGCATCGTCTGCTCGGACAGGAATTGTAAGCCAGCTTCAACCATCGTGTACTTCATCCACTTACAAAGTACCCCATAGCTTCAAATTCGACACCTCCGGTCATGCCTCCAGGTGCTTTGGGCTTCTCTACCTTGCCCTCGTCTACCTCTGCCAGGTTCCAGACCGTGTTATTTGGGTGACAGAATACCCAGAAGTAATCTCTACAAACGTCCGAAAGCTCCTGGAGGTAAGTTTTGTAAATTCTTGGGCGATGTAATGATTCAATAAAGGCATGGGGTGACACAGGTGAAGCAGGTGATTCAGTTGGAGGAGGCGCGGGTGTCAGAAGGAGAGCACGGATCAATGAGTAGAAATTCTTGTGTGGTGTTGGGAGGGTGATGAGATTCGAGGATGAGCGGCCCTCGGGTTCCCAAGCTTCGCGACGTGAGCGGTTACCAGTGGATGGGAGCGATGAAGAAGGGTACAACTCGAACAAGATGAGCAACAATTCGACGATGAGTTGTCTCGTTGCCACGTCTCCAGGCTTCTTGTCAGAGTAAAGCAAGGAGACCAGTTGCACGAACGGGGTTGGGCACGAGCTACGCAGAGCAAAGCAACCAATTTCAGAGGTCGACAGGGCCTTAAAGCATCGAAGCAATTCATATAATATCTGGTCATCGTGTTGCTCTTCTCTGAATAAAAATATGAATGAGACTGTGATTTGGAAGCTGGAGGTATTGACTCACCGCCACTCGACTTCGAGTATTTCATTCAATCGCGTAAGCAGTGCATTGTAGCCGCCCAATTTCAGGAAGTCCTCCGACCAACTAGTCAGACTTCAATCAGCTAACATAGCACAAAAACTTCACATCGCCCAACACTTACATCGCCGACTCATTTCGTAGGAGCAGTCGGAGTTTCTTGACGATTTCTACTTCTAGCTGGGTGCTAGATGTTGATGCTAAGATACTGCAGAATTTGACGGGAGTTATGCTCTTCACAAAGCTCTTCTCTTTGGATTTGCTCGTGATGAGATCACCTGGGATGACCGGAGAAGTCTGATCACGAGAGAACGTCTGGTCATCGAGCGGTGCATGCAGATCCGTTGTACTCTTTCCAGAGAGCCCAGATATCCAGCTGCCTTTCGTAGGCATCTGGTCATAGCTCATAGATGGCGGAAAAGGCGATCCCATAGATTCGCTACTGCGGGCTTTTCTCAACGTCATCGGGGTGCTCGGTGACCCAGACGTCGGGTTTGATGTTATGACATGTGATGATTTGAGCATGGCCGCTTTAACAGTTGCATCCATGCCAACTAGCTTTACTCGAACAGTAGAAGGAATCTGTAGCTCGTCCTGTGTGCATATGCTATTAGATACCATCGATGGATGTCATCACTGCGCAGACCTACCAGTAATTTGTCAAAGGCCTGGTTCATCACCACCGGCTCGACCACAAGGTCCTGAGAGCCCTTAACAGTTTTCGATTTTTCTTGCTTCGAATTACCCTTGTGGGTTCCTTTGCCTGATTTTGTAAGTGGAGGAGTCGCAACATTATTGTCAGGTAGATTCTCCTTTCCACTAAGTGGATCCCCAGGGCTCGTGACCATGGTGAATTCTGAAGAAGATATTCTTTTGGACGAAGGTAAAATTGCCTTGAACATGACTGCAAGATGCTTATTCGTGTGTCGTAATCGTTGGTCGTCGTCAATGTAGAAATCAAAGTAAAGTTGGTGGCTGTGACGTGACAATACACGGTTCGTCTTTTTGGACGCGACTGTCACGTGCATTTATTTTCTGCTATTTGGCTTTTGCTTTGACTTGAGCGCCGACGCCCATAGCTATAGCTTTTTTTGAAGCGATACGTTGGGAACGGTGATGCATCAAGTTTTCGAGCGTCTTTCATCTCCGCCGGCGCTCGAGTCTTCCTACGTTGCTCTCACAATGCCATCAGTATCACTGCATACCAGGCAAGTTCTTGCTATATTTATTGGTACGTGTACGAGCGCCCATGCCCTACATAGGAAATCCTAATTTCCGGTTGTTCGGTATATAGCTTTCACTCTTTGCCCTTGACGAGAACTAACTTTCCCTCTCTACCCAAACGCATTTCTCTGCTTGCATGCACAAATATCATTTTACCCAGCAAGTTCTCCTTGTCTTTCTGGACCATCCTACTGGTTAACAGGACATTGTTCTCCCTTAGAGACCGGACGTTGAAATGTGAGTCAAATTAACATTCCTCAAATTCAAAAGCTCTACAAGTTGTTAATCAAAATACTGTAGGATGGTATCATAGGACCGATGTGATGTCGTTAAAATAACTAGGTGTGTGGTATCAAAGGTTGTTATCGTACATTGGGAGAGTGAAAATCTGTCAGAACTTAAACTAGCAGGACCGAACAGCGCCCTTGGATATGGAGGAGGTCTTGCCATTCGACTGTTCCTCCTTGACTATCCCGTTTTTGCCATGCAGTTTGCATGACTCGCAGAGTCTGATTGATGTTACCAAAGTCATTGTGTTGACCTTGCAACCGTGTTTTCAAAAACTCGCGCTTCATGGGATCGTCCACGAGGCATCCCGCCAGATATATGGGGAACACTAGGCAGCGGTCGATATTTGACACGGGAAGCCGGTTCAATAATTGTACAATGATATCTATCGAATTCAGGATTTCGGGCACTCCTGTGACAGTCATGAGCATTGCAAAATCATGCATCAATTTCGACGCACCTGGATTAGGCTCACTGAGCACTGTGTGTAGGTAGAGGATAGTTGCTTCTCGGAAGATATCAGCCACTATCCTCCGAGTGTCATCCGCAGGAAGGGGTGTGCCCGCGTGTCCAGCAGGTGAATTTTGTACATTGCCATTCTCTATAGCCATTGATGATAATTCAGGATGTAATGGCGTCTGATCCGCTTCTGCCGATAGCACTGGCTCAGTTTGGGTACGAAGGTGTCGCTCGATAACATCCCCTCGCCGAATGAGCTCTCTCATGCTCAAAGAACCATTACGAAGTTCTTGCATCTTCCAGCATAATAGTGTTGCTATCTCCACGATACCAAGAAGTACTTCGTCTGGACAACCAGTTAGGCTATCCACACGAAGGGCTGGCTCGTCACTGATGCCCTGCTGCGTTAAACCCCAGTAACCTGATCCTCTATGGAACAGTCGCCGGTAGAAGGATAGATGCTTTGACGTTGTTTTCAGAGTTAGGGTTGACATGATATCGCACCACTGCGTGCTTAAGGTGAGCTTAGTCTGTGCGTAATTCCTGTAAAACTCACCATTGTGGCTTTCAGTGCCAGTCGCGATGCCTCGTTCATGTTTATCATCATCAACTTGGGGTTGTCGCTCGTTGTTATCCCCGTCCTCACAAGCCATTCGCTCGCAATATCCAACATCGGGCGCCAATCAGTCACTCCACCTGACATGAGCGAGAAGCTCAACATGTGGATGGCTGCATTCGCATCGGACTCGCTTAGCGTTGTCTGCTTGCTTCTATAAATCTGTTGGTGGGCACTATCATAAAATCGGATTGCCGGTGAATGTTCCAGGGTGGGGTTTGGCGCTTCAAAACCGTGGGCGATGCGAATCAAACTGAAGTGCAATGATGCTAACGCGGAAATAGCATTTGCGACCGGGCCCTGTGGGTGTTGTAATACAATCTGAATAATGGTTAGCGACACGGTATCAATTTTTGAGAAAGCCTTACTGAATATGTTGTATTTGCTACAGAATTGCCAGCAAATGCATACTGCAACTGCCGAACATGCTCGAAGTAATATATGTGCTCCATTTGCAAGCCATCGTCTGACATCGGAGGAGTATACAGATTTTGAGTGGCGTTGTCGAAGTGCATTTCCGCCAGGGGCGATGTATCTGAGGGAAGAGAGCCGGAATGGCTGAAGGGGGAATTGTGGCTCGAACGCTGAAAGCTCCCATCCCTCGTGTACAGAGGGACAGAAATGATCTGAGGTGAGTTTAGTGTTGAACCTGGGGATGTGGTGTCAATTGCCATGGGTTGATTTCTCTGGCCACAAAAACCTACTAAAGACGGACATCCCAGTTTGGTCGCCCAACGGATCAGCATACGCTGGTATTCCCAAGTCATTGACTCGAGAAGACCCTGAAGAACTTGTTGATCCTCGAAACTGCCGCGAAGGGAAAACAGATGATGAAGAAGCTGGCATAGATGATGGACCCGCTGAACTGGCTTGCAGTATCGAGGATTTTGGCTGACCGCGAATGAGGCCAGCCCGTGTTAGCTGCGCTTTGATGCCAGCTTTGTAATCTTCTACGGCTTTCTTGTCCTGTAGGACGATAAGGGGATAGCGGTAAGAGAGGCGCGAACTGTACTCACGCGCATCCATTCAGGGCGTCTTGATCCCCACCCGAGACAATCTATTCTCAAGCGCTTACAGGTATAACAGGAGTTGCCTTCTCGTTGTTCGTCGCATTTCTATTATAACATCTACTGTCAAGAGGCATGCACAGCTTTGTTTTAGTCCAAACGCACCTTTCTTCGCAGGCGACATGTCCTACGATTGGAATGCACGTGTCAGCAAATAGAATGGTGTATGGAGATGTTATGCGCACCAGCATCCCCCTCTCTCTGGCAAAGCTCCGCGAGGTGAATCTATTGGCATTCTGTTTTTGGTTTCTCGTGAATGGGTGCTTTGCGAATCTGTTCCATCCGATGCTTTGGATGGCCAGAGGGGTATGGAGATGTTGGGAGGAGATGTATTGTTGGAAGGTGTGTCGGAGGAGGGGGATGGACTGCCGCTGGTTGACGAACTACAGTATTGGTTTGACATTCACGCCACGATTTGGGGGTTGTGATGATGGGGCAATATAATTTTATCTCGAGAAGATGTTTTAAGAGCAGATTACAGCCACCTGCAGAAATTACCGACGGGTGACGGACGGACGGAGGTTCACTCGCAATAGAAAAGACGGCGTGATGTTTGGTTCTGTCGCACACGAAAAGACGGCGATGTTTATGGCCTAAAGAAGCATGAAGTGTATCTCAAAACAAATTTGGATTCATTCAATGGATTGGTCTCTAAGGAATTAACTCCGCAAGGGCTATGGTGGGATCCAGTGTCGGTTGGAGGTCATCGGTGGACGACATGAAGCGACTTGGGGGTCGCCACGCATCTTTCGTCTCGTTAACAGGCTCACGAGTCAATAACGAAAACATTTTTGAAACTTCTAATCTCATGCAGGGTAAACTTTGCTTATATAATTTCCGAGTTCCATGGGGGGGCTGAACTCAAAAAGTGTACATACGTGTGGTCTCGGGGTACCTGAGAAAAACAAGTTGGTATATCAGTGTGCCTTGGGTGTCCTCCCATTCGAGATCAAAGGATCAATCCGTACTATTTGAAAAGTGGTGTGGTGTAGGCTTACTACTCCTCAAACATTTTATTAGCTAATACGCGTTGATCCGATCATGTCGAATGAATATACGATTAATCACTTGGCCTTCTCGAATTCAAGAAGATTCCGCGAGTAGAATGTAAATTGAGGGGCTAGGCCTACAGGCACACAAGTCAGACACTCGGATATATAAGGAATCCCCCGCTGAATCTCCGACGATCCCTCCTTCGGTAGTAAATAGTCACCGGAACGTCGCCGAACCAAATCCAGGACGTTGCCGCATGGTAGATGCGTCTTGGATACTGCCATCACGGAGCATCGCATTCCCCGTCATAGCGACGTTTGCTGTAGCACCCCCCGGTGTGTCTCGAGAATTAGAGTTGTTCCTCCAAGCTCGATAAGATTTCAGTGGCGGTGCCAAAGCTTTATCACCAATATCTCTAAAGCATACGATGCATCACCTTCCGTGGAGTTCGCTCATCGTGAACGAATAGTGTGGGATGCCATGACTGACCAGTCTGTGATACAGTGTTAGCATAAGCCAGCTGCAGGCTAGTCCCGGGACTAGTGACCGAATGGAGAACAGTCTGAAACTGCATGTGCAGATCTAAGAAAGATAATACGATTAAGCATATTCGGCTCCCAATGGACGAGCGGCAGTGCTGAGATGGTCTATCAGAAACATACCGGTGTATTGAATAATGATAGGAGACAGCCTCTTGAACCTTGAGGCCGTGGAGGTGGGTGTCTAGAAAACAATGCATAGCATTCGGAGGTCGTGCAAGCACACTGCGATTTGTTCACCAGGGCGTAAATAGATTACTGCTTGTAGAGTAGGAGAATGGAGAGCATCGGGAAATAAACAGCCGCGTCACACAACAAGAGGGAGCCGAACAAATAGTGAACAGCCAAAAAGTAAAAGTCCATGTGTTGTAGGATAGCCCTTAGACAAGAAGCATCCGCGATTGTTGCATGACGACACGATAGTCCACTGGCTCCCCTCGTTCTCGGCTGCTCCAAACTTTTCTCATAAGTTGAGCGACCCGAGCACAACTCCCCATTGTCTCCGTCTGCTGCTCCAGCAGGCGCTGGAGGAAGTATTGGCGATATTGAACGTTATCCGTCAGGCAGCCACATATGCATGTGCTGAACACAACGCTGCGCACAACCTGCCGTGCGCTCACGCCTTCAGCACGCTTGAGACAATTGACTGTTTCTTTGATGTTCGTCATGATCCCCGCGGGCATTGTGGGTGATTCCCAGAGATGACAGAATAGAGACAAACAATGGCAGACGCGCGAAATATGCCATTTGTGAGCCGCCGTTGGCGTGACCTTTCTGTTTCACCCTGCAGATAATCAGGGTCACTGGTAGGCTTCAGGATAGTTTCGATATTTTGCCCGCGTCTGACGAGTTCCGAAACGCTGGTGCAATAGCGCCAATCGCACCTTGGGTGCTCTTGCGGTGCAAATCCGCAAGCAAACATGCAGCCTCTCGGGCTGAATCACTGGAATGTATGAGATTCCAAATGAGTTTATCAATCGACCCGTCGACATGCAAATATTGGATACGGAGAACATGCTGCATATAGTGCTGCAATGATGCGTTTTGTTGCATGTTCAGGTTAAACCAGTTGTATTGGACGTTGTTAATGTGTTGGGGCAAGCGATATCCAGAGGGTATGGTAACGTTATTCTTGTCTTCGTCCGCGAAGCGTGCGTGGTACGTTGGAGAAAAGCCACTGGTGTATGGTCGAGGCAGGTTTGATTGCGTCCCTGGAAAAGAGTGTTTGAGTACTATGACATACATAACAATAACAATACGAGGTCTTACATGATTGTTCTAAGCTATAAGTAGTGGAAGGATACGCAGGCAGCATAACCCCAGGATAGTTTTCTCGAGTGTCCAATGGTGAATCAATGTCCTGCATCACCGGAAGTCCTACGACAACATGAGAAAACAAACAAGGTTATTCCACGATAGGAGTCTTACGAGCATCAGTATTCCCGAAGATATTGGACCATACTCGGGTGTCGCTCATCGCTGGTGATCGACAAGGTTTGGCTCGACGAACTCGTGTTTCTGGAAGTATGGTCTATCGCAATCGTGCTTAGGGAAGTATAGTCCACCGAAAGTGATATTTCAGAAGGTTCCTGGTCATTGAAATGAGGCCCAACACCAAAATTCGCCTCAGACCAGTCGTGTTGGATGTTGTTAATGTGTTGGGGCAAGAGATATTCAGGGGGTATGTCTTGGAAAACGTATGACATCCCTGGAAAAAGAGTGTTTAGAGTACCGTGATATACATAACAATACGAGGTCTTACATGATGGTTCTAAGCCATAAATAGTGGAATAATTTTCTTGATCGTCCAATGGTGAATCAATGTCCTGCATCACCGGAAGTCCTACGATAATGTGAGAAAACAAGCAAGGTTATTCCACGATAGGAGTCTTACGAGCATCAGTATCCCCCCGAAGATAATCATCACGGGCTATAACCGGGTGTCGCTCATCGCTGGAGATCGACGAGGTCGAGGTCTGCGGACTCGTGCACAAAATGCTATTCACAAATTGAACTGCTTCCTCGGCAGGAGGACGATCAATGGGTCTAGTAGACCAGCAACGGGTCATGAAATTCCATTGCTGGTGCAGTGACAAGATAGTGATCCGGACGAGGATGCATTTCCCATTAAGCGACTTGCAGCCACGACTGCGTTGTCTTTGGTCAAGTGACACCAAGGAATATCTCCCGTTAAAACCTGTAAAACGAGTTAGTAAGTTAAGTTAGAAAGAGGACCACCACTGACTTGAAGCATGATACTACCAAAGGAGTACATATCACTTCGAGTGGTAGCTGCTGAAGCTGATTCTTCTCCAGAGAGAAGCTCAGGAGCTGTCCATCTCATTGCTCCTGGATGACAGCTCCTTTTCGCGAGATACGTCATGCCGGCTAACTTTTCAAAAGTTCCGGAAAGGCCAAAATCTGCAAGATACGCCTTTCTATCACCATCGATCAGGACATTGGTCTTGCAACCGATCATCAGTATGTGAGAGATAGAATAAATCATGGATCTTACACCAGTGAGATCTCCATGAACGATGGGGTTCAAGTCCGTATGTCCGTCTTCTGTCAAACTAAACGTATGAACTGATGTAAAAAATTATTCACTTTCTTTGGACATGAACGTTTTCACTCACGATAATTGAGGCCAGCAGCAACGTCACGAAGCTTGTGCACAAAACAATGAACTTGACTGTGCAAAATAGGAACATATTTGAAGTGCTCGCCAAAAGCAGACGATCATGCAGCCTCAGGGACTCGTTCTCGCGGAGAAACGATGTCAAAGTGCCATTTTTCATCCACGGAGCAACCAAAGCTTTTGAGGGACCAAAGTCCGAAGTTGTGCCCATGAATTTCAAAATATTAGAATGCCGTAACCTCTTCCAAATTCCAAGCTCTCTCCGAAACATCTAAGAAAGCTTAACGAGAATATGACTGTTTCCTCAGATAAAACATTACCTCGGTGTTAAAATATTGTGGTCGAATTGCTTTGACGGCAACCTGCGGGCGAGTGTTAGGTTAGTAAGCGTAGAATAACTGTGACATCCGCACGAACCTCTTCATCGCCCTCTGGTCCGTGGTATGTACAATGGTAAACGTCTCCATATGCGCCGCCGGAAATTGGGTATTGGCTGCGTCGTTTGATAAGACTAGTTAAGTCTGGGATGGAGATTGGAGTGATCGAAGGAGCGACATCGGGAGTGGTGAGTGTAGATGGTTCGAGAGTTCCAGTAAACCTTCGCTGATCTACTGCCAGAGGACCTTCAACTCCAGTGTCCGTTCCAAAATTTGATTTTTCACGGGCCACGCGAAGCGGTCTGGTGTCACGGTATGGATGTTGATGGCGTTGCGCCGTCGAACGGAGAGAACGGCGACGATGCTGGTCGGTCATACTGAAAGATTTAACCGTGCCCAAAGGAAAAGCACGACCAGAGTCTGGTAACTCTGGTTGTGTATCCAATGTAGTCTATCGATAGGAAGGGTGGCGCATGGTGATGTGCATGAGGCCTTGAGGCCTCGAGGTTGTTATGTAATCAGACACAGGATGTGCCAGATTATGCCGAAGCTTTGCACTGCCACTGCGCAAGTGATCATGCCAAGTGATGCCATAAGCAGAATTATCCGATTACTCTTCGATCAAGGTCAGCCGTTCGCAGAACCCTCACAGTTGTCGGAAGTTGAAAATTCGTGATTTGACGTTTTGCCGATTTCAAATTATTTTTTCTTTTTTTGGGACAATCTGCCTCAAGGGTGAAACTGCTTTCAAGAACGACGGAAAATTGTCCATGGAGTTGTTTAGCATAGCCTAATACTTGGAGAGGCTCACTGGGGAACCCTCTCTGAGCCATCTCTGAGTTGAAGGAGTTGTATTAGTAATACTTCTAGGGTCATCATAACTTCCGAGTCCCTCTTTTAATGAAACACTATCTCTAGCCGTACATACACACATACATAAATATTATCAGAGATAGATCAACAGATTATTCGCTAGGTATGTATGCATATCGATGGCAGCCCGTAAGGTATAAGAATAAAGAGCTTCCCGAAAAAAAAATTGACCCGTTGCCTGCATATAGCGGGCGTGTTGAACACCTTTATAATTAGCAAATAACGAAGAGGGGGGATGTGTCGTAAGATGGTATTTTAAACAAGAAGCATATCCCGCATGACAACGCGCCAATCCACAGGCATCCCCCCTTCTCGGTTCGTCCATACTCGTCTCATGAGATCGCTGACCAGAACACAATTCCCCGCTGTTTGCATCTGCTGCTCTTGCAGAAGCTGCAGGAAGTAACCGCGGAATTGAGGGTCATCCGTCAAGCAGCCGCAGACGCATATGTTGAACACCATACTGCGCACGACATGCCGCGATGTGCTGACGTCTTCAGCACGCCTGAGACACGCAACTGTCTCCGTGACGAAGTTCATGATCTCTGGACATAGTGGGTAGTCCCCGGATAGAACGGAATGGAGATAGACAAGGGCAGACGTGCGGAATATGGCAGAGGTGAGGCGCCGTAGGCGACATTTTTCTGTTTCAGCAGGGTGGAGGTAATCATCGACATTGGTAGTCTTCAGTATGGTTTCGATACGCTGCCCGCGTCTGACGAGTTCAGGAACGCTAAGGCTACCAGTGTACTTGAGGTCTTCTTTCCAGCGTGCAAGATCAGCAATTTCAGCGAGGGCGATAACGTTGAGGGTGTCGCATCCCATAACACCTATCATTGAAAGCTCCTGCCTGCCGTCGACGAGGGCAGTGCTAGACGGATCACAGAGAGTTCGGAGTACTTTGAACATGGGACGACGAATCAGAGTCACGGAGGCGAGGATATCGTACCACATGGACGTCTTGACTATAAACCGCATACTGTCGGTGCAGGATATCAGTGCACTGGCTGGCGAAGAGGGGTTCCGCTCGAGGAAGGCGAGGGAAAATCGGCAAGCACTATGGAGGAATGCTTGCCATTGCCCTTGGCTGCCGGAGAAGAGGTGGTAGGAGATCATGCAAAGACTTGCAAAAGCATCTCCTTCCGTAACTGGTTCTATGGCCCTTTGGATATGTCTGTGGACATCACGGTCTTCAGGCGCACTGTAACCAATCAAACCACCTTGAAAACTCCTGCGGTGCAATTCCGCAAATAGGAGAACAGCCTCTCGGGCCGCATCACTGGAATTTATGAGATTCCAGACGACGGCGTCAACAGACCCATCGGCATGAGAGAACTGGATGGGAAGAACATTTTTCATATAATAATGCAATAATAAGTTTTGGTAGCCGTTCAGGTCGATCCAGTTCTGATAGAGGGGGTTAACGGAGATGGGCAAGCGATATCCTGAGGGTATGACGGTGTAGTCGTTGTCGTCTGGCCAGTGTACATTGTACATTGGCGATAATTCGCTGGTGTGAGGTCGGGGCAGCATAATTCGTGTGATTAGAGTCCTGTCCAAAGAAGGACTAACTATATATACCCGGTAATGATGCGGGCTTACATGATAACCGATTCCTGGGCGCTGCTATCATGATGTGAAGACACTTCTGCACTCATTCTAAGCAGGCCGGGTTCATGGTCCGCAGCCGAACTTGGTATAAGGGAGACTTGAATCGAACGTTCGAAAAATCGCTGAGCTGTGACTAGACGTTTTGAAGCCTGTGTAAATCAGGCAAAGGCTGTGACCCTTTAAACAAGTAGGCTATCGTCTGTTTGCAGGTCGGAGAAAACGAGGCTGCTTGACATAATCGAGATAACTTATGAATTGACAATGTAAAACATACGTCAGTCTCACCACAAGGCCTGAAGGCGCATGACAGGTCTGGTGCCAGATGACCCAAGGTGTACGCTATCGAAAGCTCAGGTGACCCACTAAGAATACACGACTGTAGTAATCCTTTACCCACCTTACAAGTCGCATGTCAACCAATCACGTTAAAAACATTCGTTTAATTAACATTTAACCTTCGCTGACGTTGAAATAAGAACTCACCTACAGAAAAATGTACTTTTCATCTTGGAGAACTACTTCGGCACCTATCGCATCAGACCGTATAATCTTCGACATTTGTCAAAGGAAGGTTTGGAATTGAACAATAGCAATAACACGGTGCAGGGCGAACCTATCACCGTGGAACGCAATCTCCGATGCATGATGGACCCGTGACTGGTCCGTGCACGCACCGGTAGTAGAGATAGTCGACACTGCCCCGTTATCAAGGGAGGGTCGCAGCGTCGGCGTTACTGCGAACGTCTTTATGTCGGTGCAAAGTTCAATTATGTAAGTGATCCCTAGATTGATTAATATCGCAAGGTACAAACAAATGAATATTTTTTCTTACAAGTCGAAGGGTCCGGAAAGGAATCCCGCCCCAATCAGGGGATCTCTACAGCAATCTATATGAGACCTTCTGATGGGCCATGATGTTCCGAATAGCTCGGCGCAGAAGATGATCAAGCTGTCAATTCGAGAACGTTATGACCGGATGACCGAATTTCAGAGAGGGCCTCCAATTTGAAAATTGAAACTACATGCGCATATAGGCCAAATGAGGAATCTATTACAATAAATGATAAGCAAATTAAATTCGGCTCACCGGGACCAACGGCGCCGTGCGGTGGCCCCAGGAGGCTATGTCTAGAAAAACAATACATAGCATTTGTATGGTCGTGTGTAGTATGGCACAGATGCATGTTCCTTGTAGTGTGATATACAGCTTGTGTGGTATGAAAATGTAAGATCTTGAGGAAATAATCGGTCCTGCTGCACACCAGGGGAGCGCCGAATACTTTTAATAGATCATGGAGGGATAGCAATGAATGGAAAAAAAAAAATTCATGTGTCGTAGGGATATAGCCTTTAGACAAGAAGCATTTGGGATTGTTGCATGACGACACGCCAGTCCACGGGCTCTCCTCGTTCTCGGCTGCTCCAAACTTCTCTCATAAGTTGAGCGACCACAGTACAATTCCCCACCGTCTCCGTCTGCTGCTCCAGCAGGCGATGCAAAAAGTATTGGCGATATTGAACGTTATCCGTCAGGCAGCCACATATGCAGATGCTGAACACCACGCTGCGCACAACCTGCCGCGTGCTCACATCTTCAGCACGCTTGAGACAATTGACCGTCTCCTTGATGTTCGTCATGATCTCCGGGCATTGCGGGTGATCACCAGAGATGACGGAATGGAGATAAACAAGGGCAGACGCGCGGAAGATATCAGATGTGAGCCGCCGTCGGCGTGACTTTTCGCTTTCAGAGAGGTGATCAGGGTCGCTGGTAGGCTTCAGGATGGCTTCGATAGCTTGTCCGCGTCTGACGAGTTCAGGAACGCTGAGTCTACCAGCACGCCGGCATTCATCCTTCCAGCATGCGAGATCAGCAATTTCAGCGAGGGCGAGCACGATCCGGTTTTCGCACCCCATGACACCCATCATGGAAAGCTCCGGCTTGCCATCATTAACGGCCGTGTTGGGATCATAAAGAGAACGGAGCACATCAAGGAATTTGGGGCGCCGGATCAGCGTCGCGGAGGCGAGGACATCGAACCACATGGACGTCTTGATGATAAATCGCATGCTATCGCTGCAAAAGCTCAGCGCCCAGTCTGGCGCATGATGTTTCCGCTGGAGAACTTTGATCGAAAATTCGCAAGCGCTGTCGAGGAACGCTTGCCATTGCCCTTGTCCCCCAGAGAAGAGAAAATATGAGACCATGCAAAGGCTTGCAAGAGCGTCTCCTTCCGTCACTGGTGCGCTTTGGATGCGCGTGTACACATCATGATCTGCTGGTGCAGTAGCGCCGATCGCACCTTGGGTGCTCTTGCGGTGCAAATCCGCAAGCAAACATGCAGCCTCTCTGGCTGAATCACTGGAATGTATGAGATTCCATATGAGTTTATCAATCGACCCGTCGACATGCAAATATTGGATACGGAGAACATGCTGCATATAGTGCTGCAATGATGCGTTTTGTTGCATGTTCAGGTTAAACCAGTTGTATTGGATGTTGTTGATGTGTTGGGGCAAGAGTAATCCAGAGGGTATGGTAACGTTATTCTCGTCTTCGTCCGGGAAGCATGCATGGTACGTTGGAGAGAAGTCACTGGTGTGTGGTCGAGGCAGGTTTGATTGCGTCCCTGCCAAAAGGAGGGCTTGAGTACTATGATACATACATACACTTAGTAGCGATACGGGGTCTTACATGATTGTTCTAAGCTATAAGTAGTGGAAGGATACGCAGGCAGCATAACCCCAGGATAATTTTCTCGAGTGTCCAATGGTGAATCAATGTCCTGCATCACCGGAAGTCCTACGATAACATGAGAAAACAAACAAGGGTATTCCACGATAGGAGTCTTACGAGCATCAGTATCCCCCCGAAGATAATCATTACGGGCTATACCCGGGTGTCGCTCATCGCTGGAGATCGACAGGGTCGGGGTTTGCGGACTCGTGCTTGGGGAAGCATAGTCCGCCGAAAGTGATAGTATAGAAGGTTCCTGGTCGTTGGGACGAGGCCCAGCACCAGAATGCCCCTTAATCATTCCTTGTGCAGCAAGAAAGTTTTTAATTTTTTCTCGTAGGTCGACGACCTTGTCGCTTGCCTATGGGGAATAGAGAGAGAAAAAATCAAAAGATAAGGGAATGATAAATAAAATGACATACACGCAACCATTCTGGACGCTTTGCGCCAAAACCGAGGCATTGTAGACGAAGACGGACGCAGGTCTGGCAGCTGCCCTCTGGGTTGGGCTGCTCGTCGCATTTCTAGGAGGGGGGAGGGGGGAATGAGCGCCTGATGACAAAGAAGCGACGATCGAAGATCGAAGGAGTGACGTGCGAGGACCTACCTTCCGACGGATTCTGCACGTGTAACAACCCGACTTGGCGCGCACAGCGCCTTTAGCCTTGGGCGCTCCGGTCCGTCTGGCCTGGGTAGGAGACTTTGGTGCGGGGGGCATGATGATTAGGAAGATGGAGGTATAAGGGGAGAGTGTGGGGTAAGAAAGATACAGGGAGAGAAATGATGTACAACGAGACAGAAAGAAACAAGAGGAAGCGACACAGGACGCATTCTATGTACGAGAGTATAAGTAGTAGCATAACGTTCGACGAGAACGGGGAACGACAACACCTGTTTGAATGGTCAAAATAACCAAAAAAGGAAAATAGTAAATCTATTAATATGAGTTGAACAGAAGGTAGTTTCGGGGTCTCTCCTTACCAAACATCCACCCCCATACCATGAGAACTTGCCAAGGGGCGCTTTTGCTTCCGCGCGTTAAACGGCACCCTTGCATCGCTGCCTTCCAAATCCAGGCGCTAGGTGATCATCATTCCTGTACGGCTTGTGTACGACAATGTACGCTTGTGTATCCCCCCCACTTTTGGGGTGGCAGTGTAAACCCAACTATACCAAAACATGTGCTGCCCTGCCTCGCAACAATCGCAGTGATATCCATCAGACAGGCCGACCCTCTCCGGTTCTTACTTTGAATACCGTCGGGAGACCCCATGGACCAACAATAACACTCAAAATGGATTCGCTTGTCAAATCATCCGCGCTTGTCGCTTTCCCCCAAGTATGAAATCGGTGAACAAACATTGCGTCTTCCGACCACAAGCGAATAGAGGTTCAACTGCATAGATATATCACTAGAAGAGGAACAGAACTGATGCCCGTGAGGCAATGAATGATGACAGTCCAGTTCAAATACATCCGGGGAAGCATGATTGGAAGAATAATGACGTGAGAGTGTTACTGTAGGTCAACTGAGCTGACTTGGATGAATGCCGTTATCTTGCTTTGTTTGTACTTTGTTCTAGTCCTCCGAAATGGGCGCTGCGGCAATGCCACTCGGTCCGCTTATACTCAAGTTCCTGACCTTGTGTCTCAACCCACTGCTACTCGATGCCGATCCTCCCCCAGTGCCCTGATTAGCGTCTGCCGGTTGCTTCGGCGCGCTACCGACGTTTCCACTCGGGTCTCCCGGCACAACGCCAGCGCCTGATCGTCGAGCTATAAGAGCACGAATGGCACTAAGCCATTTGATTTCTTCTTCTTCGCTTGGAGCACATAACAGTAGCGTCCTTTTCGTCGTGACTATCTTGAACGTAAAGTGCCCCTGCGAGTCATCGGGTACTGCTGACGATGATAATGGCGAAGTCGAAGGAGGTGGAAGGGGTGCGTTGTGCTTGTGACTCCGCATGTCGAACTCCAGGGCATCGAGAATCTCAGAAAACGAAAACTGTCGGTGCGGTTTTGTGTCCTGATAGCCACATTCAATTGGTCCCATGTTAGCAACAAATTCGACGTGGCAAGTACAAGAATACCCATTACCATGTGACTTCCCGAATAGACTAATTTTTCGCCATTTAACATAAACCACCGTTTACGCCAATTATGTCGTTTCGACCCGCATTTCATCAGGTAACCAGATAGGACTATCTTTGCCGCTTCTTTTGGTATGGCTTGCGTTCGCGTGGGCGATGAAGAAACCGCAGGGCGATTCTGCGACGAGGTCGAGTAGGTCCGCTGCGCACTTGGCGAAGCATCCTCTGAGTCCGAGGAGGTTATATTTTGAGCGTGGGATACCTTCGGAGGCGAATGCGAGACCGTAATGCGACAAGATGCTGATGGAGCCCCAGGAATCGGTATAGGGGGTGTTAGTAATGACGTTTGAGTTGAAATGGTCATAAGAGCCTCCCTAGCGTCCTGTATGGCCTGGACCCACCGCTGGACTTCCACTGGACTTTCAGCCTGGAGATAGAACGTTCTAACAGTAGAGACGACACCAAACGTATTGGTGTGTTTCTTGAGCGTGACTGGGGTGCATGAATGTACATCGGAGAGATCCAGCAGGCGCAATAGTTGGTATTCCGCGTTCGTCTTGTAATACGCGATGTGCGCAGGTCGAAGGACGAACCATCGTTTTTTCCATGTCTGTGATAATTGCTATACACACCAGATGGAAAGAAGACGGTCTCCGATGTACGAACCTTGCGTCGCTCGCCTTTCTTCCATAGATAGCCAGACTTGATCATCTTTTCATCGAAAGAGCTTTGAGGATTCTCGGCCTTTGTTGCGGTCCTCCAACCACCCTCCTCCTCCTCTTCGTCTTCGTCAGACTCTTCGCCACTTCCTGATTTTCCCTCTGCGATGGAAGATAGTGGAGGCTGAGAGGTGCTGCCTGAGATCGGGTTAGAACCATATGACTGAGATGTTGGGGAGAGAAGATCGGGTGACAGAGCTGAGTCAGAGTCAGACTCGGTACCAGAAACGTGTGGTTGTGACACTGGAAGGGCCTGCAGGGTTCAGATCGATCCGGATTGTGTGACAAAATCAGGAGAATTAGGATAGACTTGGTTAGATGCATACGAACCTTTTTAGGTCTAGCGGTTGAATGGACGGATAATTTTCTCTGTATTTCTTGGAGTGACGGCGGTGGAGCTGACCGTGAAGTACTGCTACTAGTCGTCATGGGTGGGAGTGAGATGGGTGTGGGTATTCGTGACGAAGAGGTCACAAGAAGTTCGTGTGACATATATAGTCACGATAGGCTTGGACTGCGCTCAGCGCTCGTACTGGACCAATGAGACTTTTGTAAGGGAAAAAAAGATTAAGAGGTGGTACTTGTGCGATGTTATATAGGCTAGACTGCGGACTAGTGATTCACATTGTGGCATGAAGTACCAGTGCTACCAGCGAGTGCATTGGCCCAATTGTCTTGTTCAAAGCGATACTAGAACAATATCAGCTGATAAGATCAAATGCAGCCGGTTCCAGATCTGGCAACCGCTGGCAGAGAGTTGCGTTTTGTCTTGACCTTCATCTCTCTCTCCTTCGACGATGACCTCTAAATTTGAAAAAGCTGTTGCATACGTCCAAGGTCTGGACAAGGATGGAGCGGGCCCTGATGCCTCTGTCAAGCTGGAGGCGAGTTTATCATTACTTTTGAAGATCGTCGATGAGCGATACTGATTGATGGACAGTTTTATAAATTCTACAAGCAAGGTACCTGTGTCACCTTTGTAGAATGATATATAAACTGACTTTTGTGGGCGATCAAAAGCTACTGTAGGAGATGCAGATCCGGCCAAGCAACCCTCTGTATTTCAATTCGTCGAGCGTGCTAAATGGTGAGTGGAATCAAACCTTGATGAGTCGACCTGACCTGTCTTGCAGGAATGCTTGGAACGGTGTCAAGGGAATGACGAAGAAGGAAGCGGAGGAGAAATACGTGGAACAGCTTATTAAAGTTTGTGATACATCTCGTCCGTTGATGTTGCGTTCTGAAGATGAAAATAGTACCTCAAGGAGAATCACCCGAATGAGAGCATTCTGAAAGAGTTGGAAGGATGAACTATGTGGTGCACGTGGATTGTAGGAAACTCGTGTTTTGTAAGAAGGATGAGCCGAACACATAGGAGTATGGCGAATGAGAACAGCAGCACGTTCTGAGCGAAGTTTATTCTGATAGGTGGCCACCAGAAGATGATGAAAGGGTGTTCGAGGACCTGTCAGATGACGACTGCAGCTGCGGCTGTGGTCTTGCTGTGCGTCTGTGGTAAGTTTCGGCGCCCGTTTTTCATTACCTGCCACCAAATGAAGTGTTCGATGGACGGATATGACAAAAGCCGACTTGCCGTGGCAGATATATAACGTTGGTGGCCGACATACGCTGAATCGAAACAAAGTTTGAACAGCAACGAATTAATGAGCTTCGAATTCTTCGTATGCAGTAGACATGGTAAAATCAAAATTGAGCTCAGCGAGACGCGCTAAAGCGAGCAGTTACGGCGTCAGATTATCATCGTGACATATATGCGACCCTCCCACACTGTCACAATCAAGCTTCACTCAACAAATCACATCATCAAGTCTCGTCGGAACTTAAGCGCCCCTTTTAGGATGCGTCTTATCTTCACCCTGAACCTTCTTCCAGCCACCATGTCATCCCAATTCAAATTTCACCTCTCGCGGCAGGCACTAACCTTTACAAGGACAGGGGGGCCCATCCTTCCTGTATACCCTTGCCTCGTGGTCAGTGAGATCTGTCACCGACATTCTAGCGGACGTGCGCTGCCTTACAATAACGGTGAGCATCGTCCAACGTCGTTCATGGCGTCCAAATGACAGACGTGGGCAGATCCATTCTCTCATAGTCGCTTAGAAGCATTTCGGTTTCAGTATATCGTTCTGGAACCCTCCCTCCTGTACCATGGTCACCCAGGCTCATGTTTCACTATCGAGCTTGGCTACTCGCGTACTTACATGCACCGATCACAAATTACGAACACTGTAACCATCTGGGACGCCCGAATCATCTGCCAAGAACAACGTCGATAGTTGTGCTCATGGTCGATGATCGTGAGAAAAGTACATAGAGTTACATTCAGACAACGATACAAAGGGGTAGAAGTTAGGCACACTGCTTGTCAGGGTTCGCAACATACAACGATCCTCGCGGAGCTAGACCATACTGAATCCTGGGTCGCGTACGGAAACCCGCTTCTTCTCGCTTGCCAGTATCCCGCGGAGGTGGAGAACGCTCCGCCACAAGTTCCTTCGTCATCTGCCATTCCATTTCCTGAACCCTGCATGTCACAATACCACCTGCGGCCCTGGCGAACCCAGAATCATGTCCAATGGGTCCAGTCCTCGAAGATGATAAAGAGGGACATGATGCCGGTCGGGAAGAGGTAAACCTGCTTTGATCGGATGATAAGCCAGCCAATCGTCCGTGCTCATTTGCACTAATGGAACTAGTCGAAGCTGTTCGATTTGATGTAGATCCGTCCGAAGCATTTCGCTGTACGACATCATAGCTTCCACCTAGCCGCTCTGCCTCCTCAGTGTTCGCTGTCCGGCCACTATGAACAGACAGCCGAATATCTCTGTTCCTTTGCTTATATTGGGTCTCATGAGAGTCCCGTGAACCATTTGATTCGTCGATCGACATGAGTCGCGGAGCTGGGTTAGGGTCCCGTAAATCTAACGGCTTCTGACCGCTAGAATTCCGTCGATCAAGTAAAGACGTCTTCATAAATCGCCCCCACCAGCTATCTGATCGGCGAATGGGGTTCGAAGGAAGTGGATACGAGTCGAGGATAGATGAGTGGCGTCCCGACGGTGTGATGGTTGCAGCAGACGAGTGCATCGTGGAGGGCGTCATAGGACTATGAGGCAGCTGCGGGGAAATACTCGGTGGGGAAGCATAAGTGTTGCTCGAAGAATTGCCGTTGAAAGACGAATTATCTCGTGACGAGCCGGGGTATGAAGTTATGGTGTTAGTTGAGTCGGACGCGACCTCATTCAAAGGACTGAGGGTGGAAATGGGTGCGGAGAAAGGCAGTTGGGTCCTCAGTGGGCGAAGGGGTGGCGAGTCTCGGCTCTTAGCATTGACGTCGACGTTGTCATGTTCACCATCAGGTGCGAGTGCCCTATGGTCTAGCCGATACGAGTCGTACTCTTCATCATGTGGCACAGAATCTGAGAATGGATCTATGTATGACCCCGAGCTGCCATCCTGTTCATGGGGGCGTCCGCTGTTGGGCATCACGTTGTATGAGTTGTTTCCTGCATTCATCAGGCCCTCGTGATCACCCTCAATTTTCTCCCAATCATCCCAACCTCGGCCGCTATTTCCTGCACTAGGCTCCCTGGAAATCATCCCGCGCACCATTGCGCCCACCGAGCGCATCGACCACGCACTAGTTCCACCACTGCCTTCCCTGTATAACCTATCTGCAGGACTGCCCCATCCAAATTGTCGCGTGTCTTCGTCGGCGAACATGTCACGGCGCGGGCGTTGTGTCAGGGGGGAACAATGTCTGCTTAACCCAAAACGACCGAGAGCTGCAGCCAGCGGGATGGCGCGTGGACCTAGAAATACGTAACTCCTTCGTTCAGAACTCATGGACAAGAAATCAGCGGGACCACCATCGGGACTGTCATCCTCATGGTCACCTCCAAGAATGAGGAACCTCCCGCGTCCCCGCGAACGTTGAATACACCAAATAGTTGCCAGTCCACCTGCAAGGAGCCCAATGATGCCGAAGGTGGTGCCTAGAGCAATAGAGGTTATGTCATTTTTACTAGAGCTGGAACCAGCACTGGCAGCACTGGTGGGATACCCCACCGACGTTGAGGATGCAACTGAACTACCCCCACTTGACCCAGAGGGGCCAGTTTGAGAGGGTGCAGGGAGAGAAACGATGGCCGGAGTCGAACCTGCAGGTGGCGAGCTATAATAGGAGACCATGGACGAGCTAGAAGGGTTGTATATTTCCACAGTAGCAGACGCAGGTGAGGAGGATCCGTAGCCTGAGTTCGATCAGACATGAACAAATAGCTAACAGGGAGGAACTCACCAAAGGCGAAGAGCACTTGACCGTTGCACTGTACTGCTAGATGGTTCTTACGAGCGCCAAGTTGCTGAAGAGATTGTACTTCTTGCCAGACCATGGGATTTTGGGTGGTATTTAGTATCCATCCATCGCCATAGGTTGTTTGTAGTTCGCCATCGCCGCCCCCATGAATTAAGATTTCTCCAGTGGCGAGAACAACAGCTGCGAAGTCGCGACGTGGATTTGGTATGGTGGAATTCGAGAGTGTTATCGTATCCCATGTGAGAGTTGCCTGTGTTGTGTCAAGAGACCAGATGGTATTTAGGGGTATAAGCTTCCCAAATGATACGCAATATCCACCCAAGACAATGAGTCGTCCGTCAGGGAGAATGAGCGATGCATGCCCATAAATGTCAGGCGGTGCATTACCACCAGACGGAAGCCCCACGAACTCTTGTAACACAGGGTTGAAGAGGTAATGATCAAAGAACGCATTTCCTGACCCATCAGCCTTCTCACCACCAACAATCCAGACCTTGCCACCAGTCGACGATGCCTGAATGACGAATCCTTCTCATTGGTTCACCAGCCCAGTTCAGAGGCTCAACGAAAAATGACGGGTCCGTACGATCGTAAGCGGAAACAAGCGTGGCAGAATCATTGAGGGTAGTAAGGACCGTTTGTGAATTCGGTCCTGGCTGACCTCCGAAAAGTATGAATGAAGTAGTGTTGAATGCAGAAAGGGTGTGCCATCCCAAACTGGGAGAAGAGCTCGTGGTTGTTATATTTGAAAGCAGCTGCCACGGCGGGGAAGTGGCGCTGAAGGATATAGAAAGGTCGAGTAACAATAGTTCTGATGTGGGCGGTGCGGATGTGTACGAGTATTGATCGTATTGGTCTGTCAGACCTCCGTGAATGTATAGAAGGTTTTCTAATAGAGCTGCAGCCTGTGCCCATCTGTCGCACCGTCACTGATTAAGTGCTCGCGTCGACAGACATGATTGACATACCTGGGTAGTGGCGTATATTGACATAGGGCAAGCGGTATCAAGTACGGCAGCACGGCAGCGGCGCGCCAACCACTAGCCATATAGTATAGCGGAAGAATTGACAGAAAGGCTTGAGAAAGGTATAAGTTAGTTGTAAGAGTGAAGATGTAAGTCGTTTTTTCGTGAAATGTCGTCAACGGAGGAGAGTACAAGCTGCAGGTGGAGTGTTCGGTCACATAGGTATAACTTGAACCGCAGTGGGCCTAGGCCCACGTGAAGTTGAAATAAACCATCATTCCAATATGGGGTGCCAAGCTTTTAGCCGAGTACTACATCGCTTGCCACAAACCTGCAACAGCCCACAGAAAGTTGATGAGTCGGTGACAACCTCACAATCCACCAAAATAATAAACGTCACTTTGGAGTGGTTCGCGAATTCGAAGCGTCTTACTGTGCCATCGCTTATGACTGCCTGGCAATTGGCAGCCTGAGTGGACACGCCATTCAGGTGCTCAATAGAGGGAAGTAATGTTAATGCCGAACGTGCATGTGAGTACTCATCCAGGCTGTCGCCCCGAAATCCCCAGAAACTCTGACAGGCGGTCCTCATTCTTCCATCGCGTTGGAATTGCATGGACCCCCGGCCATCACGAAATCAATAAACGTGCAGATCAACTCCCGAAAGACGCAATGACTCGCATGTTGCAACATATGCTAACGAAGACGCGATAGGGAGAATTTGCTGAAGAGATGGACCGAAGGTTGGAGACGCGATGCGGCCTTACAAACAAGACTATTTGCACCCATTAACAGACTTCCCCCTACGCCGAAACCTCGACACTATATTATCACCACTCCGGGAAGTTTGCGGTCACCTCATCTAATGTCGTACACGGAAAATACCTCATTCATATCCACCGAAACCGCCAGTTGCCTGCGCGGAGAACCACAACTGACACGAGAACACTATGCAATTGCCCTCCATTCACTCGCCAGCGAAATCATGGGTACGGAGAAAGTGATTATGGCGATAGTTAAAATTATGGAAGAATCTGATGCATTCAAGAAGGGAAGACAGAGATGATGAGGAAGATATCGAAGAGAGAATAGAGGGAGAGGGAGGAGAGGGTTGGGATACAGGAGGAAAGGAACGGTGAGTAAGGGAAAGGGCCAGGTTGATCATGATGAGTAGAGGGTGACGATGGAGGGAGCGTGGAGGGGTTGTTTCATAACAATCGGCATGGACTCCCGAATCAGACACTTTCTAAGTTAAAATGAACCTCCAAAGAACTGTCTGAGGAAATATCACGGCCGAATTGTCAGTGACAGTGATACTCAGGTCAAAGGAGTGTCAATCCCCAGCGCATCATGTATCATAGTTGCATACCAGAGGGTAATGGTAGGTGATCTATAATTCTCAATAACTTACAAAAAAGGCCTCAGACTCGCTTTGTAAATGTCAGCGGAACATCCATGACGCCTAACGTGACAGTCATTTTGGCCTGCATAACTCTTTCGCGCCATTCCTCTTTGGTTTCCTTCTCTCCGGTAGAGTCATTGACAGACAGGAGAGGCTCAACGCGCCAGTCACGTAGAAGCAGTACTAGGAAACAAACGCCCTCGGTCATCGCGAACTTTTTGCCAAGGCAGGACCGCGGGCCTAGAAGCATCGTTGAATGATCATAGATGTGAACGAAATCGGCAGCATAGTACATACCGACGCTAAAACTAGTGTGATCTTCGCCGTCTATAATATGTGCATTGCTCGTGTTATTCGCAAACCACCGTGCAGGTTTGAACTCTTCTGGGTCAGGGAAATATTTTGGGTTGTAATCTAGTCATCCTGTAGGGTGAAAGAGGATTCAAGAATAAAATAGCCACACGTACGGACACCAATCATGTCGACCAAGACCTATTTATCCACAGATTAGCCATCTTCTAGGGGCACGAATTGCAACTTACATGTGTACCTTTCTTGACTGGCAACAACTTCGGTTCCTCGCCATTGCCCGAAAGATTAAGCACTGTATCTTGTTTCGCCTCCCTTATGAGATAGACACCAGCAGCTGGGAAGAGCTCAGTTTGAAATTGGTTAGAAGAAAAATCACATACGGAACATTCTAGTTCCTTCATAAAATGCTGCGATAGCCTTGTCCAGTTTGTTATAGTCTTCGTATGTCTAAAAATGCGATTATGTAGATGTATTTTGGAGACGCTGATTCAAACAAGCTCACAATCTCGCCATTTTCGCGCCCTTTAGTGACTTCGTGGACTTGCTCGACTATCTCATCTTGAATAGATGGATGTAATGATAAGAAACCAAGGGTAGCTGCCAGACTGCTTGATGTGGTCTCTGAAGAATTTCTTAAAACACCCGTATGATCAATGTGGAAAAACATACCATGGCCAGCAAATAGCAATGCAAAGACATTTCCGATCTACAGCGACCATTCAGCATTTATTCTCCGAAATTTTAGAAAAGAGTACCAATTCTTTGTTGTCCAGACGTAGTTTTCCCTCATCATTTTCGTTCGCTCGAACAAACAATGAAAGGATGTCTTTCGATGTGTCATTATCTACTGAAGAATTTATGGCTTCACTCCTCGCCCGGACGTGGGAATCCATGAATGCTCTCATGATATCGAACGCTTGACGGGTCTGCCGAATCCTATGGATCGTAATGTAATGTCAATGGCATTCAACTCGAAGAATCCGAGCAGAAAAAATTACCATGACAGCGGCAGTTTCCAAGCCCATTTTGGAGCTGCAATCGCAAAGGTATTTCTAAGCGTTATAATCTCCATGCATTGCTGAATTGTCATTCGACCATCATGAGAGGGGGGGTCTCCCCAGGAAAATGGGAGACCGAAGCCGGCAGTGGCCATGATGATGAGGGTGAACTGCAGATACTTAGCCTGAAGTATGAATGCTGTACGGGACACCGACTTTGGTTGTCAGTGATTGGACACGTTGAACGTCTATTGTCCTTTTCTCTCCCCACCCTTCACAGTCAATCATTTCAGAATATACTTTATTTGTAGTATTCCAGACAAGTTGATAACTGTGAGAATAGGTTATGGTAGGTGTCTCCCGAAGCCAAAAAAAAACGCACGTATCATTATTAAATGCAGGTGCAGTGATCCTCCTGTGCTTTCTCCATTGATCCTGGGACGTCGCTGCAACGACATTCGGACCCCAAAATCTGACATTCATTGGAATGGTGCGATAGTTTGATGGAGAAAGGTCAACTCACAGAAACACACGACCCATATCATCAGTCTTCCCAAATGCACCCGTCTTATGACCAATGGTCACGACCTGCTTGGCGACATCCAGCGATCGCGTATATATTGACGGTACGCCAGAGAAAAAAGGTACCACCGAGACCGTGTCACTGCCAAAGCGACGATAAACTAGTGGTGGACAGAGATATCGGTGAATGCACCAAATGTGTGAGGATGTCGACACTTACTATTTCTAGTATGCCTCCACGTCCAGACGAAGATTACTCCTGGTGGATTGCATTAGGCTATAGTATCGTACTTTGAAAGAGAAAATCCATTATACCTGGATTCCATGACCTTTCTGGTACGAGCACGCCGAGCAAACTGAGAGGCTGGAATGGCACCCATAGGCCCGGAAGGTAATCCACTGCCTAAGCGAAGAGTTTATGATGATTCGGAACGTCATAAGCTTCGTACCTTTAGACCGGACACGAACTTGAAGGCCTTCGATACCGTGACTGCTGCGACTAACGCAGTCGTTGCAGTCGTCCAAGATAAATCTATACAGGACATTAATTTCAGCCCATATTCACTGGAAGGTCATCGAGGAATCCACTAACTCATTCTTGATTTTATGGAATTTGGAACACAGTGAGCCGCGAATGAAGCTTCAAGTGAATCGAGCTATTTAGAATATATCTGGCCTGGGGACTCATCGCAACGACTCGGAGTGTGTGCCGTCGGTTACAACTTACCGTGCAGTGACCGTGGCACCACAGTTCACAAGCTGGTTGAAACGCAGCCAACATGAGAGTACTCTCGGAGACCCTCGGACTCCTTTCCTGAGTTGGCCGCATGCATCGCAGTCCCCTAGTAACCAGCAATTGCCAATGCAGCGAATAAGGACATTTCTGTGGCGGATGATTTGGGCGGATGGTATGCCATGAAAGTTCAAGTTGAATGAATGCTAAATACGTAAACGGACTCGGAGCGCTCAGCGCTCGGTTATCAATCATCTTCCGACTGTTGTACCACGCTACCTTAACAAGTACTCAGGCTGCCAGCAGCTACAAAGCCGCAGCCACGGAGGGAACTTACTAGCCGCCACCATCATCATGTCCGATAATTCATGGCATACGGTGTAAGCATGTCGTTCCCATCTTCCAGTCTTGTCCAAAACTGTACCATCATCATGATAGTACCATACGGGTCCCCTTCGCAAACCCCAAACACGCAACGATAGCGATGCAAGTGATTGATGTGGATCCAGAGCTTCAGAGAGAAGCCGTTAAACGCACGTTGACGGTGGACGGCAATGATCTCGTCGCGTATGTATTCACGAGAGGTCTTGAACCTATCGCACATTGTATTTAATGAAACGCAGGTCATTCGCGACTTCAACTGTTCGACTGGCAAGGCTGACAACAAATGGCTTTCTGGAGAACGTAGATCTGGTGGCACGGACTATTGGCGAGTTTGGAGAGGACTCGGAACGACAGCAAGTCTAGGTGATCATTTGGAAATCAATGGTTTGTAACAGTGGGACATGAAGTTCCCTTCGACAATCTTCATGGTACAGAAAAGTTCACCAATCGCCGAACTGCGACCATCTACTTTACATGTAATTTTATTCAACTTCCTATGCGTCGTCCGCGTTACCCTCAGCTTCCTTTGCCTTCTTCTTACTCTTTTTGCTCTCACGGAGGGACTTGGACAGCAGGCCCTTGAGCTCATCATCTTCCAGTTCCTTCTCGGCCTTCACCAGTTCTGGCTTGTACCACACCGGAGGGTGAGTCAACAGCAGCGGGCCAGCAGGAACTAATGCAATAGTAAAGTGGAATGCTGCCACAAATGTGTTTGCAGGAGTGTACCTACGGCGATGTTATTAAGAGCGTCAGGAGCTAGGGACGTGACGTACACAACTTCATACGGCTTGATCAAGCCATGTTGCACGGCTTCTTGAAGACCAAGTCTTGCTCTCTTCTCATCCTCCAGTGCACGAACATTGAATGGAAAGGCGCCAGCCTTTTTCTGTACTTCAGAGAATACGGCACGCGAATTCTTCATCTTCAATTGATAAGTTACTGAGCTATCTTTTTGGTAGATGGTCGTCCGAGAATCTTCGATACGTGCCTGTTGAATGTTCAGCGATCAAGATTCATTTTTCGTTTGCAGTTAGCATCAGACCTTGCCATCCTCTCCTGAAGAAATGAGAATATCAATTCCATAAACCTCGTCTTCCGCGAACGTGATCAGCTCAATGTCGCGTCTCTGCGTTTCGTTCGGGTTGAGAATGATACGCTTCTTGCCATCAATGACATTTTGCGACTGCTGACAAGAAAGCATGCCTGAATCCGTAGCATCAGATTTGCACTTGAATTTATCACAAAACTCACCTTCGACAGGCTTGCAATCCCAAGCTGCAGCAGTTTTCGCGACGGCATCGGTAACTGTGAAGTTTTTATTGCCGACCTTCACAAGCCTCATGGCGATCTCAGCTGCATGCCAAGCTGCCTTGATTACATCTGCTTTTCTGCCAGTTACGGGTTCTTGCTCAGATGCGCCGACGACGATTGTCTCCGCACTGATAGCAGCGAAACCGTCGATGTGTGCACCGATGTGGATCTTTACTACATCGCCTTTAACAAGGGCCTGGGATGATAGGGGATCTGAACTAAAACAGAGTGAAGTTCTAAAATGGTCTACAGGATGAAATATAAAAAACCACGTACGCCAGAGGAGAGAAGTGGGAGACGGTGTTATTTACAGAAATCGATGTGGGGAATGCAAGGCCTGTTGTCGAACGTGATAAACATTATTTCAAAAACATAAAAGTGATCTGACGTACCCTTGCTCGTTTTAACACCCTTCACGGCTTTGTTGTAAACTCCACCAGTCCCCTCCTCGATGAACTTGTCACCCTCGATACAAAGATCAATGATCTTTGCGTCCTCGACGCAGAGTTCGATCAGTTTCTTCATAACATCGTGTACGATGTCACCAGCAGTCTATACGACATCGCAGTCGTTCGATCAGACTTCATGAACCAAGCAAGGTGATTACTACGCCCTTCATACCTTGTACTTTGTTACATCGGCTTCGCTGATCAGCCGTGGTTTTTCTGTAGGCTTCGGTGCGTCTGTAGTAGTCTCAGCCATAGTGTAGGGTAGATGAATAATCGAAAGAAGAGAATGCACGCGATGATTGAATAGATTGACTTGCAGGCACCTCAAACTTGGTATTCCCGATATGGTATATCTCTTTCCTAGTAACCATGGTCAAAACTCCTGAGTCTTTCCATATGCTAGAAAGTATGGAAAATTCTTCAATAACTTCCAAAAGACCAGCATGCTACATGGGCATTTTCAATGATGTCGCCCTTGTCGAAAGGAGCTTGCCGACGGTGTACGGACGTGTTTGCGTAACATGACGCCATCTGGGAAACCGAATATTTGTTCATGAAGCGATCTATGCAGTGCCAGCGTAGCTCTGTGAACACGTAACCAGTACTACGCTCAATTTTCCGATCCTTTTTCAAGCTGACTCAAACGGAATCTCATTCAGCGGTTTCCTGACATCTCCCCGGTGTACCTCAATATCCGGGTGTAGGATCACACGAATTCATCTAGGATGAATAGAACCGTAGCCAATCGCTCATACTGTCCATGGAAGCGAGCGGTAAAACAAGTACTGCGCTATTGACAAACTCATACTCTCTCCTCAGCAAAAACAAGAACGGGTTCATGAGGCTGACTGGATGTTCAAGCTAAGTCCAAGTCAAATAAATATGGTCGAATAGAACAAGCTGAAGTTATACAAGATAGGATAGTAAGTTGAGCATACAATATACACACGAACTTATGTATCTAAGCATTGTAATGTTCGGGCCAGGTCCATGCGATGAACACCGGCAGGAGAGGCCGCATAAGGTATGGACTTTCTTTGGTTACTTTCCGCCAGCGCTCACGATGAAGCTTCAGCCACCCACGCATGCCCCCATGCTCATGAGTAATATCCAGGCTTCTGCGTTTCGAGATGATGGGTCACCTCACACCATCGCCCTCTGAAATACCATATCCGGTACAAACAGTGTAGTACCTTTACGCGGAGCGTTAATACTTGACCCATGGAGATCTTCATTCTTTTTCGCACTGTTTTATTAAGCCTCTTCTCCTCTTCTCTAAAAGGTACCTCTGACCAGGAGACTATCTTGGTACGTGCTTCTTCCGGTGGGATATAAACAGGGGGAATGAATGCTATGAGTGTTACCAAGAAATTAGTCGTGAGGTTTCTTCTGGAAGCTCCAGTTACCACGAATCGACGCTCTAGTTTGCCTCTAGTTACACTTGCTAATTGAAGTTCAAAGAAGTGTCACTGACCACGGTTAAGTCAGGACGATGATACACCATATGTCTCTCTATACTCCCTCATTTCCTGCAAAGTCTTCTTCTCTTCTTCTGTTGTCTGCCCTTGTGCTTCTTTCTCCTCTAACCATTGTACCAGGTCCCGCATCTTCAAGACACTTCGAACCTTCCCCTTACCTCCAAGTAAAGTCTCCAGTTTCATCACCGAGCTAATCTTGCAACCATGCTCGTCTATCTCGGAAAACTCCTCCCGATCGAGAAGCTGTACAACCCCGACCACTTCTCCGCCCTGCCGAGCCACGAGTTTTATTGTGGAGCTTGCTGCAAGTCCGGTGGTCATCACATCGTCCACAATCACCACACGCCATTTCTGATTGCAACCCGACGGCCATCCGACGACATTGCCGCCTTCACCGTGATCTTTTACTTCCTTCCGATCGTATGCGAACCTAACATCGCGGCCATGCATGGATAGTACGAGCGCGGTGCAAGCTGCGAGGGAAATGCCTTTGTAGGCGGGTCCAAAGAGAATATCGAAGTCAGAAAAGGGGTTGGCCATGGGATCATCATCGTCAGAGGCCGGAGCACAGAGTGTGGCAGCGTAAGCTTGTGCGACTGTATGTAAAATGGTACCATCGGACATGAGACCCGCATTGAAGAAATAAGGAGATTTACTGGTGTGTGAGTCCAGGATAAGTCGATGGAAATGTCAGTGCCATGTTACTCACCGGCCAGATTTGAGCGTGAAGTTGCCGAATTTAAGAGCACCAACTCGCGCAGCTTCCTCGAGGAGCTGTGTCTTGTAAGAATCGAGCGAAGACATGGTGGCACGTAACGGAGAGGTCTAGCCGCAGATAAGATAGTATTCGAAAAATTGGACTCTAGAGCGTTAATTATGTGTCACGTGAGCGATTCATGTCCGCTGAACTGGAACCGCTGATCTTACGCTGATCGAAAGTACTGAACAAGCGTTGATCCTTATTCAAAATGCCGGTACAATCGACCGCATATCAGCGGAAAGCTTTCAATCGCAACCATATCAGTACCCCATATCATATTCGCCAGAATATTCATACCTTGAAGACAAAAGACTCGGGAGGGATGCATCTTGGGACTACAGGCAACGACTGTGTGCACTGTGGCAGCAGGACTCATGATTCGTGGGCACCACATCTTCTTGGACGGAGCCAATCCACGCACCTATGAAATCTGTGTGGCATGTTTCCAAATGATTCCAGAGGCATCGCGTCTTCAACATGCAACCTCTTCTTGCCCGGGATCTGAGTGCGTATACGTGAATAGAGCTGCAAGATCGGGAGGGAGATCATGACCATGATCATTGTCATGCAAAGGGAGTGGCATGAAAGGTCAAACTCTATGGCAGCACAAAAAGAAGTCGACTGTCACAAGCGCGGCTACCGTACCGGCCACGTCACTCCAGCTACGTTCCTTGCACTTACCACACCAGCGAACCCTGCACCCATCACTTCGATGTCTTACTATGCTTCCACAGGGTCCACCTTCTCGCCGCTTATTTCCCTCTCGCCACACAACATCGTGGCTGTTATCTCTACCATCCTTGGACTGTAGCGCCTCACTAGCGCTCGTTAGAGTCCGCCAGTTCTTTGGGTCGTATTCTACCACCGAACCTTGCCGTGCGCACGGCCACCAATGGGCAGGCATCTGGCTATCTCTGGACGTGGTGATTGTGTTCCATTGCTCGCTATCAACGGAAGTTGCCATCGTATTCGTCCGGCAAACTATCTGCATGCTCCTGACACGATGGTCAATATTCTTGCGGTCGGGCGGATCATTAAGGGCTGGGATTGTGATTTTCGTTGTAATACACCTCGCTGTAAGCTCGTGTATCGTGGAACTCCCGATGAGATTCTTTCCATGTCAAGGAATTTTTCTGTTGATCTTACTTCGAGCTCGAGTCTACCTCGCTCCCCCCACAGCTCGATGTCTTTTCCCTGCGGAAGTTGCTCAGAACATCGAAATGTCGCCCACTTGCTTTGGAGATACACCGATAAAGATCCAAAGGGTTGCTGATAATCCCTATCAAAATGCAAGTCTTGCGTCATGTCTACTAACGTACGAGATCTCATTCGTATCGCAACTCGGCACGGAACACGTTATTTCATAATCCCTCACGAACGTTCTCGACCGTCTCGCGAGCTAGATCTTGCCAGCTACAATCGCAAGCGTGGCGTATGGATGACGGCATATGATTTCGTCTGAAAGAGCAACTGTAAATTTCATATTTTTATGAACCCTCACACGTTTTGATCCTTACACTAAAACACCATGACCAAATCTTGTTGCTCTTCTTGATCATTCCTCACAAGGTCCTCCCTGTATGGATACATACATAATAAGTTACATGTAGTTGTCAGCTTGATTTCACAACGTCACGGCAGCCATAATCGTAGAGCCCGGATCCGATCACTCATATCAATCAATACTGTAGAATGCAGGAGCCACAGATATGCTGAAAATGCCTAATATCATCAGTCCATTCATTGATCATGAAACATGTGCGAGATTGTGTATGATGAAGGGGTATATGTATATGAAGTCGTGTCATGTCGTGAATTATGATTTAAAACATACAAAGCCACGAAGGCTCCGGCAATATTCCGCTAATTCATCTCGAGAAGAACATGCATCTTGCTGCCGGAGAGAATTGCGCCAGAGGCGCCAATCTGGAGGTTTACCAACGGGCTCGTTCCACGTCAATTCCGCTTGCATACACCCCCGTAAGCTAGTGCGATCTGCCATATCGCTGTAAGAATACAAACAAAAAATCAGTTACGTAGGTTCGTTTGTTCAAAAAGCGAATGAATTACTTTTCCCAGTTGATCCAATCACGTTCAAAGTAATCACGAAGCGGATTGGTGGGTGACGGGCGGAGGTCGGACCAAGCTGAGGTAGACTTCTGTTGTGTTGTTCGGACGACTGGAGGTGTGGGGTCTTCGCCATACAGTCTTTCGTAGGCACTCCAGATCGACTCTTTACAACCCACGATTGTCCGCACAGTGCGAGCTAGGTGCATGCATGCCCATGACGACATGGTCCGCTCAGACTCGGAACCCCCTGCCGTCATCACAGAAGCACGGGCGCTGGAATCGGCCTCAGATGAGGGTTGGGCTGACAAGGCTCGAAGCTCGAAAAGAGTTGCAGGATCGAGCTGTACAGTCGATATCGAATGTTGAGTCGTGAGCTGTTGTTTGTCCGAGGAGTTGGGTGGCAAGGGGATTTGCAGGGGGGGATGTGACCGAATACTAGGAAATGATAACGAGAGATACAACGGCAAGACAGAAAGTGGTTGCGATGACAAGAAATAATTGTATAGCATTTCCTCCCATGCGCGCTGAAGTCGTGAGTGATCTTGAGGATCTGGGGGTTTTGGATGCCTAAGTTTGGTATCCAGCACGGAGGGTAGTGAGGTTGACGAAGTTCCAGAAAGTGAATCTAGGCTGGTGTTTGTGCCATTTTTGGCTTTCAAGGACAAAACAGACTTGTGATAAGAGGTTGCGGTTACAACTGTATTCGAGCCTTGAGTGGAGCTACCGAAAGACTGTCCACTACTGGGCGTTACATCGTGTGATCGTGTAGATTGGCAGGGGAATAAAAGGTCTTCTTCAATAATCTAGAAGTCCGTCAGGGTAGCTCCATACGTAATACGACCGAAGAACACTTCCGCACCTCGAGTACACCGTGAGGTTTGAGGATGCGGGCGATCTCCTAATGTGAGTCAGGTAAAAGCAATTCAAAAGGTTTTACGACATGCGACAGACCACCCGCTTACCGCCAGAACTGATGGCCACTGTGAAGGGGCCATTAGCAAGTCAGTAAGCCGACGCCAAAACACTAACCTCATCTTCTGGGATGTGCAATCCCATGCGGACCATCCTCACGAAGTCAAATTGGCCGGGTAAAAATGGTAGTTGTTCTAGTCTGAAGAAGCGCATCAGATATAATGCAGAATATGAAATGCACAGAAAACACGTTACAGATTGCCTTGTACCCATTTTAGCCGACGAGAAACAGACTTTTCGAGGACATTAAGGCGTGGTTGCGTGCGCTCGATGTCGAAGCCAACAACTGTGCTGCCCTACACACTTCCGTAAAAAATACGGTTGTGTTATATGTATTCTCACCAACCTGCCATTGCTTGGCGGCTTCGATAGCCCAAAGACCGCGTCCACATCCGAGATCAAGAATTGTAGATGGAGGACCGTCAAAATCATAAAGAGTTAGACTCCTGCAACAATTTGTTATGAACATATGATCCCAGTGATCACTGGGACATCATCGTTGAGCACGACGAGAGTTGAAGCTTGTTCAGAAAAGAACTCACAAGTCCACGATGTCATTTGTGTATGTCAAGGGCGAAATCACCTCGCCGGGAAGCCGCCTACATTTTGGCAATGAAAGCAGGTCGACGTCGATGTTCGTATGTGGGCTATCGTTCATGGTGAAGGAGGAAGGCGCATGAGCAGTATGCGAGATGCCAATGGCCATGTATATGATGGCGGACGCGACAGATGAGCCAGTTTATATGTAGCTGTGACGCAAAATGTGAATAGAACTGAGGCCTCGAGGTTCGAAAGTTATTAGTAGTGTAGCTTAAATCAACACGATAAATTGATCTACCTTAAAAAAATTTGGGGAATGGCCGAGGAAAGCCGCATCTTCTCCAAGTATGTCATGACGGTTGTACCATTCATAGACTTGCAGGGCCGCGAAGATAGGAAAGATGCCGTCGCTTGTTTTCGCTTATTTCGTCCGAGTCGGGTTCAAATGGGTCTGCAGTAGTGTCCGGTGTCCTAAACATTGTTTCCGGGGGACTCGACGGTAGTCTTATGGGGTGGTCACACTGAACTTCACCTCGACTTCAATGACCTCGCTACGTCTTATAAACAGCGTTGCATCCAAGCGATATTTAAGACCCTCGCCCATATCATGGCGTGCCTATGCAACGCCTGCAACTTTTAAACCCCAAGAAAAAGACCCTCAACTTGGCGATTACCCTAACCTTCCATGGGTTTCTGACCAGGAACGTCCTGCTAGAGGCTGGTGGGATCAACAGATGCGACGGAACTTCGGTGACCCGGTCAGCACATTACCCAGTTCCCGGCGCGTAATCGCGTCTCAGACTTCACCTTTTTCAGATACACGAATACGATGAAGTCCTGTCCATGTGGGGGCCTGATGCTCCCCCGATTCCTCCGCACAAGGCTTTGTTCCAGCTTTCGCTCGCCTTCTCAGCATTCATTGGCTTTGGTTTCCTATGCAAGTACGCGCTCGTTCCAGAGAGGCCAACGGTAGCCCGGGAATACCCGTACTCCGGTCTTGTACGTGAACTTGGCGGACTTGAAGAAAACAAGGTGGGCGTGCTCCACGTGTGTACTCAATGGGTCAATTTGACACTTATTCTAGGCTAGAGAAGAGACTGAAGAGATCGACGAGTAATATTGCGGTGTACCTAGAACTCGCGTTTCTTATCCGGGAGAATTTCACTCTCACGCATTTTGCTGTTTGCATGATGAGTCTGCCACATATTCGCTACCGTTAAGTCACTGGACTACGCCAAATACATCGCCTTTCCTGGAAATAACACACGTTCAGAACTCCGGATCTTAGGAAGTACATGTACTATGATGGTAGTTATGTACACGTTGCTTAAGCTAAGAACCCTCGGACTCTGCCGCAAGTATGGTGTATCTATCAGATACTCGGGACCCTTTCGCCACTGGTCTCGCCCTTGGGCGGAGATGAGGTTTTGATGTTTCTGTGGCGGAAGGACACTCATCAATTACATTGCCGACGTACTCACCCCCACTTTCAGACTCGGATTCTTTTTGAACTGTCTTGGAGGACGAGCCTCGCGCTCTGGCGCTGCGGCCAGTCCCTGTCACCTGTCTTTTTGATCGTGCCACCACGGAACTAGATTTCGTTCGGCTCTTAGCGTCTGTTTTCCTCTTTTTGGTGACAGGCTCCTTTCCGTCTTCGGGTACAAGGTCACCTGCCTCCTCAGATACCGGTGTGCTTGCATTCCGTTTTGTCTGCTGATTTCGGAAATCCGTAACCACTTGCTGAAGACGCTTACTTCCGTATGCTTGTCGTTTCCGTGGAGCATATGATCCGCTACCGGGCGCAACATCAAAGAAGTTGTTTAGGTTGCCCTGCCGATTCATAGCTGCGGCCTAGCAAATACATCACATCGATCGTACATTAATATGTCACCTGGCTTGGTTCGTACCTGGTTTCGCTTATTCATTTTCTGAATGATTGGTAGAAGTGTTTCATCAACTTTGGCTTGGTTCCAGTGTAATTCTTCGTGGAAAAAGCTGTGGAGCCCTGTGAGCATTTTTTTCAACTGCCGGAGGTGGCCAATACGCACTGTCGGAGGGCGTCGAGGTCGGGCATGCCCCATTTGAACGGTTCATCTGATGAATCCACCGTCGGATGAAGATAAGCATCCCTCTACGGCGTGGAGATTACCCTTCCATTGCCCAACATGATAGCAGCCACTCACTACTAATGCATTAGGCCACTCCAGGGGCAGGTATAAGTTTTTGAACTTCTTTTTCTAGATCAAAAAATGAGCTCATAAACTAGCATCAAAAATTTTCAGCAAGGCACATACGAATCGCTTGCGGAATTTGGTAGTATTGTCCTCCGCTCTATCTCGCCCACTTTGGACTTTAGTCCACCAGTCCTTGAACTTATGAAGGCCGTCCTCGCCCGGGAATTCTTTCAGTAGTTCCATGGCTATTACGGGGCCAACACCAGGAAGCCCCTCAACGTAGTCGCTTCCGAGCAGGTACGCCAGACGAATAAGCGTATCGCGTTCCAGCCCAAGCTCCCGGGACAGATCAGACAAAAGAAAACATTCCACAGTCTTGGATTGATTAAACATATTCTTGAAAACGCGCATGCCTCCGAAGAGGAAAACGTCCGAATCGTCCGTTATGATACCCTCGACCAAACCTAACGACACCAATTCTGCGCACTGTGCTTCGGCTTCCATCGGTGCGGTTATGTATGGAATCCCGAAGAGACGCAGTAAGAGCTTGGACCCGATGGTGAGCTCAAATGAATGATACTACATTTAGCACGGCACACATACCATAATTTGAGAGATCATTTGTTGAGTGATGTCTTCTGAATCACGCATCGCCGCCTTCTTCTGCTGATTCAACGTCCGAATCTCTTCGTCGATCTCATGTCTGACGGCATCCAAATCTTTACCCTTGACTTGCGAGATGAACCGGGCAAATTCGCCTTCTTCAGCATGGGGATCCATTTCTTCAGCAGCATCCCACGTTTCCGCTGCAGCAGGGGCTCCTTGATCAGTACTCTCCGGAGCAGCACCAAGCACAGGAGACGGAGACCGCGACCATTCGATGTCAGATTCATCATCGCTCTCAGGTATCCGAGCTGCAGGTGTGACCGCCATAGAGGTCGAAGACTGAGGTCGTTCTAATGGCTTTGGTAGTTGAAAAGATGCAGGGAAGATTGATCGTTGTTCTTTCGCCACATCCTCAGGTGCTGAGACTACCGTAGGTACAGAGCTCTCGGATAAATCGTGAACGTGACCACTATCAATGACTGGGACTTCTTCCATGTCATCGTCCGAATCTTGTGCAGCCTCTTGCGAGACTTCGAAAGATTGTTGTGGCTCGACATGGGCGCTGGTGATAACGGGTGACGGCTTTCTTTGTGATATCTCGACTGCCTGTACAGGCAATATTTCATCCATGCTTTGTTCTGATTCGGACAAGGATGACTGAACGATTGGCGTGGGACGCGATGCTGTCTTCGGTGAGATTAACAAAGTCACCTTCCCAAACGCAGATTGTGACTGAAGATCATGCAAAGTTCCAGATGGCCTTCGCACCGGACCAGCCCCCGCGATCGAAAGTGCAGTTTCCAGCCGAGAAGGTGACGCGTATAGATCATCGTCAGAATCATGGAGTCGAAGAGCAGGTTTCGACTGAGGAGTTGCAGGAGGACTAAATTTAGAAGGAGAAGGTTTTGAAGTGACTAAATGAAAAGTCATATTTCGCCGTATCCCGCCCTGGAAAGACTTACCAGGCTTATAATTTGCAGGATGATCCTCTAGTGAAGCCTGGATGGCAAGGGCAAGCTCAGGATCCTCGATGTGATCAAATTCATCGTCTAAAGGTCTGGATATGTCCTCGTCGTCATCCAGGTCAAATAAAGGCTTCGATTTGATTCGCCTCTGGACATGTTTTGGCATGGATGGCTGCGAGCGTTTACCTATCGCGTGCAATGCCATACTTGCCTGGAACTCCCGAAGGTCGGAGTCAGGGGTTACATTCCCTGGTCTGACAACACAATGAACGAATGCTCAATGATAACGGAGGGTGTCGACAGCATACATACTGACTTCCTCCATCTGCATGTCATCATCGCTGTCGCTTTGAAGAGTGGGCTTGTCTTGATCAATTTCAATTGGTTTTGACTGCGTGCCATCGTCTCGGATGCCTAAGACCCAACCGCCATCCACGCCTTCGTTCTTGACAAGAACATACTCTCTATTTCGTTCACTAGCAATTCGAACAGGGATGGTGATGTGTGCTTTACCGATGCTGTCGGTAGTCATCAAGAGCTGTTGAGTCAGAGCATTTCGTTGCTTGAGATTCTTGATCTGTTCTCGAGAGAAGTCCAGAGGAGTCTGTGCCTTCTGTAGCATGTTTTGTAGACGCTTATACGACGTCTGACGTGATTTCAACCGAAGGTCCCCAACAATTTCGTACTGAACTTCTGTGGGCAGCTCTCGGAATGCTGGAGAAGAGACGTCAAAGTCCTCTGGACGCATCTCCTCTATGAACGTCCGGAGCTCTTCCTCTGTGGCGAGACGCGGGTCTGGAGCCTGCGAACTGGTAGCCTTCGCCACGCGCTCTTCGAGATCCACTTCTGGAAGTCTGTAAGGATCATGATCATAAAAGCGAGCTTTCTTTGTCGACGAAGAAGGTGTTTCTTCTGCCTTCTTCTTTGCCGGTGTCTTTGGTGCAGAATTATCAATGTCCTCAAGGTAAACCGCATTCTCATCCAGGACCACGGGTCCAGATGGCACTTTCTGCTTGCCCTTTGACGATGGAGGGCTGGCTCGCATATATAAGCATTGGAACACTCTTTCAGGATACGATAGGTCGCATACTGTGACGCTTGAGCATGTACTAAAGCCTCCCGTCTCATGTGGGCCGCCAGCAGCCTCTCCGCAATCTTGGCGTGACTTGCAGTGGCACCACTCTTCCTCTTCTTACGCTCAATCTATACCATTTGGTCAAAATTGCGACAAATAGAAAGAAAATATATCCTACAATCGTATTTCTCTTCAGCGCAGGAGCTCCTCCATCAAATACAAAGACTGGGCGAATCCCGTAGAATAATAGCTTGCAGATACGTCGGAAGAAACCAAGGACATGTGCGTTGACCAATGCCCGTCCATCTTTGTCGCGCATAGTAGCTTGAAACTGGTATATCCAAATACTAGAATCAATAGCGAGAGCTTTCCCTTCGATAGTCTCGAGCCTAACATGAATCCAACATTTGAGCATGACAGAACCTCGCAAATTTTAGTGCACATACGGTACTGGGCGGCCCACTGGAGATAAGAGATTCCATAGTGACTTCACACCCATCTGCCAGTCTTCTAAGAAAGTGAGTGCGGGGAACGGACTGGGACAAGACTCCTGATCCCGGAGCGCATTGTTTTCTGATCACGTGGGCCAGATTTCGTAAATCCCACACAGTAAACGATTTACTACTAAGTACTAAATGTTGACAGAAACACCTGAAACTACAGTAACAATTTCGTCAGGGTCCCGGATATAACGATGCAGAAGATAATTTGAGATGACCAAGTCCATGAAAAGTGTAGGTATGAAAATGATAAACTAGACAAAAAGGCATTTTATGGTCGTAAACTTCGTAAAAAGGCGCGATTGGATTAACTGTCATAGCACGCCTGACCGAGAACGAGATGCCTAAGCGGGGAGTGTAGAAGGAAGACTGCAGATCAGTTTTTTGGGTTGTCGCGAGCATCGACGGGACGTGGACCGGCGGGCGATCCTTGACCAGCCGAGCTGTTCCGGGACGAACTGTGGCCAGTGCGCTGACCCTGCGCGAGCGAGCCAGGAGGACGAAGGTCTTCCATATTAGCTGGAGAATACCGTGCGTCGAAGGCCGAACCACCTGTCATCTGCATGCCCATACCTCCCATACCACCACCTGCCATGCCACCGCCTCCCATCCCCATCCCCATTCCTCCACCCATATGATTCATGCCCAAGGGGTTGCCCATCATCGGCATGCCCATCATCGACATCCGAGGATCGTAGCCCATTCCACCACCGGTCATCATGGGATTCATGGGCGTGGGATGCATGCCATCGCCGACGTGTGACCCAGCAGTGGAATATGCTATCATAGCTTGTTGATAAGCAGCTTGTGCTGCCTGTTGTGCAAAGAACTGCGGATTTCCGAATCCTGGCATCATACCCGGATAACCCATATATCCACCCGTCATCATGGGATTGGCGCCGTTC